CAAATGGCAGCGAATGCCAAGTGGCTACTAAATAGGCAGTAGGTGTTGGAAGGAGTTGCCTGAATGCTGAAAGGAGTCAAACCCAGCGCCATCACCCCCTGCATTTACCCCAATGAAGGTCACCACCTGTCAACAGACAAGTGCACACAGTCAACATCTAAAAGGCTAACAAAATGCTATGACACGTCCAGGTCTCCAGATGGCACAGCCAGCCAACTGGCTTCCTCAGTAGTAGGTTATTCCTGTGCGAGACACAAATTACAGGCCATGTCTCATGCAAAGTTGTGAGCTTTGCCTCTAGACCCCACCTGGTGGAGCTGCCAGGTTTTCTCAGCATCACCCATCAAACTGTTGTGAGAACAGGCTGCTCCAGGATGAGCAAGCTGTGGCATTCTGTGTTGAAAGAAGGCCTGTCTCCATGTTGTGCTACTTCAGCTTTTAACCAATGAATGTCAATGGAAGGGTTGGGCCGTACGATTAGAAAGGATAAATAGGAATAATGAAAAAAAGGAAGGTTAACAGTTCTTATTGGGTCTACCTACAGCTCATGACTTCACTTGTAATTCCAATCTGGGTTCAGCTTTAAAATACATATTTTGCTTTAATTCAAATCCTAAGAAAAATGGGTAAATTTTAAAAAGGAGACTTTATGAACTAACGCAGCTCAACTCAGTCCTGCTACATTCCTACTCACTGCAGACCCCCTGTCCTAGCACCTCTGATCCTGTACAGCACCTGCAGGCAGATACAGACATCTCTTCACTCTCTGCCTTGCTTATTCCAGCTCACCTTGCAGCCATTCTCAGACCCCTTCATGTTTACCCAGTTTGGTCCTTCCTAATGACCCCACCCAATCCAGGACTAATTTTGTCTTTGGCAGGCCATTATCATCTCCTCCCATGCAGGGAGAACTGCCAGGGGAAAGTGGGTGTTTACTGCCCATGTTCACTCCTTCACTTACAAGGTACTTCTGGGTACCTTAAAAAATTAGTATTAAATACTATGACCCTTTTGAATGGCTGCCTACAAACACGTGCAGCTCTCCCACACCTGGATCCAGTTGCCAAAGCAGTTTATCAAGCTCTGCAACCACCAGCGGGCCTTCCCTGCACCTTTCCAGCCTGGGCTCCTGACACCTCCCACGCTCCACTCTTGCTGGTTCACACTTCCATGTTTCTGCTGGGCACCTTGATAACTGCACATCCCACACCCGCGTGCCAACATCTATTCTAAGAGCAACTGCATTTCTGCCACTTTGCTATTCAGGGCTGCACTAGCCAACTGGGCTGCAGTGGCCTCTGCCTCCCTCTAGAGTCTATCTTCTTTCCACTCACCTGTAAAACTAAATCCCATAATCTTATTGACTTCAACTGAGCCATTAAGAATAATTATTACATTGGCCAATACAGAATGACTTCTTCTAACTTTTCCCTGCAACTGTTTCCTGATAATTTTAAACACATTTGTAGACTACATGGACTCTTTGTATACCAGTTGAGACTTATTCCCCACCTTTCTAATTTACACTGTAAATTAAATAAATTGTGCTACCAAGAAGCTGGCTGCCTAAAAAAACTCCTTTCAACCCTTATTTTTCTAACCAGAAAAGTGTTCACTGAAGAGATTTTTAAAAATTCAAATTTGTACCAATTTACACTTACTCCTTGATGATGGAAGCTACTAAGATGATGTTGACTAAGGAAGCTAATAAAGTTAGGGGAAATATGGAGGCTCCTAAGAGTTTAAAAACCATCTTAAAATGGAAACAAAAAATGAATACAAATAAATTGGAGAAGAGTCACCGATTTGAATGTGACAAAAACAACCCTTTCCACTTGCATAGCACACTCATTTCAAATATGACTGCTAAACACATTATCTACCAAGCAAATAGCCCCATTTTACAGATACAACAATCAAGACAATAGTGCCCTACTCTCGATTACTTCTGGGATTAAAATAAAAGCCTCTTTAGCTACCCTAGAGTTCCTAATCAACAAACATAGCTATACCTACCTTACAGGTTATGCAAGATGGCTCTTAGGGAATGTTTGAAACTGCTTTGGGAAAGCAGTCAAGTACTAACAAAAGCAATCTACTACTCATCAATCAGAATGACAGGTGTAGGGGTAGTGGGGTTCAACTGCAGGATTCAAGATTTGTATATAAATAAAAGAGTAATAAGACATTTTTAAAGGAAGACAAACTCTATTCATTATGTCAGTCTGTCAATCTTCCTGCAATTCACCCCCCCAATAAAAATGGGGGTATATGAAATCTTAAATTTGAAATTTTTCGATGCAGGGGTCAGCTGGCTGTTTTGTGAAGTTACAAGAGACCACGGCCAGCCTCATTAGTCATTGTGTTGTTTCCATGCATGCTTTTGAGCCGTAACAGTGGAGCAGTTGTGACAGGGATGGCATGACCCTCAAACCCTAAAATGCTAGCTGGCCCCTGGCAGGAAGCATGCTGACCTTGCTTTATTTCACAGCAGAAAGCTATTAGCAAAGCCCTCATATGCGTGTTAAAAGGGATGGGCTGTCCCTATGCTTGTTCCCTCTATTTCAAAAAGCAAAGAAATAAAAGCATCCAAAGGAGGTTAAGTTTAACTTTTTATTACTTCTTTAAAAATCCAGATAAATTAACAGACTAGATCAGAACCTCAATCATAATTGATACATTTTATGCTGAATTCCTATTACTAAAAATCCCATTGGAATATGGCCTATACAAATCAAAGATGTTTACAAACTGGAAATGACCATTAAACAGTAATTGCACCAACTGCCCATGCTCTGGACATCAGGGAATTTAGAAAATTCAACTTTTGGGGACTACTCCTTTATCCTTCAAACAGAATCATTCCAAAGTTAATCCTTTTTGTCTTACATCCTTGCTGTAATAGCTTTCAACTGACCTACACCAATGAACTGGGATAAACACCCACTGTGCTGGTTTGATCAAGTACAGCAGGCTTAGCCTAGCAATGCTTTCATACAAGCAGCTTTCACAACAATTTATTTCCATTTTCTAACAGAGAAATAAGAATTTTGCTTGGTTTTTGTCTTTTCATACTTATGTTTACAGCCCCAACAATAATGTCAAATCACATGCCTTTTAGGAAATGCTCATAGGGTAGAACTAGAGTTATATCTCGCAGTGTATTTCTGCAACTATATGTTAACTTCTGATCGACCCTACCTGTGGATCCAGTCTATTTCTATCCACACTTCCAGACAATCATAAATTTTCACTTCTCTGCCCTCTTTCACAACTTGATTGCTAAAATACTGCTTCATAACTATAAAATTTTGAATGAAGATACAAAACATTAATGGATATTTATATTTTCCTAAGTCACTATTCCTACTACATGTTGCAATAAATCAAGAGAATGAAGCACTAAAGACATACTGAACTCTAAATGTAATACACAGATGCAATTGCAGTTTCGATTGAAATAGGTTTCCTCCCAAGAATGCACATACAGAAGCCCTTCGGTCTATAGCTTTTCCTGAACAAACTGAATTAATACACTTTTTCTTTTTTACGTGTGTAAAGCTTCTGGAAGTTTTAAATTACATTTTGTGTTTCCAAGACATTTGGCATAAGGTATTCAGTAAACATGTAGGAGGTAAGTTATATCAAAATGAACATAATTCTGAATAAACCCTATATAAAGTGGCTTAAACTAGAATTTGTGGCAACCACCCTCTGAGAGGTCTTACCTGTGCTCAATGGAAAGCAGAGGGACAAACCATACTCTAGGCGTAACTATCACCACCACCTAATGACTTTTGAGAATATGGAGCTTGACTGATGGGCAAGCCAGGTACAATCCAGGAGACAGAAATGAGACTGGTGAATGCTTTGTCTCCCCTCTAGCCTTTCCATCTCTACCTTATCAATTCTTGCACTAGGATACATATATAATGATGTCAGCTGCTAAAGAAATTAACTTTCAGGAAAAAGATGCTTAAAGATGTATGGAGAAAGTTTAACTTCACTTTTTGCTAATCTCAGAGTGTCAGCTGATAAGCTGAGAAAACATTAGAAAATGACAAACACATTGCATTAGCCGGAGTGAGAAAATCCTATCCTTCAATTAAATATTTTATTTTGTTACCCTACAACTGAGAGCTAGGGCACTAAAGCATTTGTTAACTACATCTTCTTCAAGATACACAGATATATTTATTCTGCCTCTTGAGGAAGCTGTACACTAATGTAAGTCCTTCTCTAAAGGATTTTTCAAAGTGGTTCACACAGCTTTTAATGCTCTTAATGTATTTGGAAATAAGAATATTATTTTTCACTATCATTTTTCCTCAAAGAACTTCAATTTTTGATTGAACCAAACTTCAAAGTTTGATTTAGCAGAATGAATGAGTGCACCTGAAAACAGCTAACACATACACTTCAAAAACCCTATTGTAAGACATTTCATATTACTAAGACAAAACCCTGCTGGAGTATATACTTCATTATTTTGATATGTTAAAACAATCATTTTAACATGTAGTTTAAAAGCCACAAGTATAATTAAATAAATACTGAAAATTTTAAAGGCAGGAAAAATGGAAGAAGCCGTAACATTTAACGTAACATTTTGACTTTAAGAATAGGATCTATGGGCCCGGCGCGGTGGCGCAAGTGGTTAAAGGTCCTCGCCTTGCACGCCCGGGATCCCATATGGGCGCTGGTTCTAATCCCGGCAGCCCCGCTTCCCTTCCAGCTCCCTGCCTGTGGCCCGGGAAAGCAGTCGAGGACGCCCCAAAGCTTTGGGACCCTGCACCTGCGTGGGAGACCCGGAAGAGGTTCCTGGCTTCGGATCGGCATAGTATCGGCCTGTTGTGCTCACTTGGGGAGTGAATCATCGGACGGAAGATCTTCCTCTCTGTCTCTCCTCTCTGTATATCTGCCTTTCCAATAAAAAATAATAAAAATAAATCTTTAAAAAAAAAAGAATAGGATCTAGCTACAGCATTTAATCAAATTCCTGTTTGTTCATGTGAAAAAGGAAGTGGTTTAGAAGTCAAATTTCTTATCCTTGATAAACCTTATATGCCACAATAGGATGTAGAATCCATCAATTTATAGAAACATATTTTACAATGAAAACATCTTCTAACTATTAACGCCATGAGTTTCATGTTAAAGTTTAAATACTGCTGTTCGGAGTCTTTCCAAAATACCAGTATACAGCACTGTCTTAGGTAATCAATAGCAAACTAATGCATAACATAGCAAATCATTAAACCTGAAACTCTGGGAAAACTTCACATTATGGACCATTCCAGAAAAATATATTCAAAATTAAAATCACTTCTCTTAGAAAACAGTAACCTTTATTGTTCATACAATAGTGAGCTCACCACTTGTACCCCCAACCCTTCACACCAACCTCGACAGATTTTCTGCCACAATTTCATTCAAGGGCTTTTTGACTAGACTGGAGAATCTAGAGATTTTAAAGTATGAGTCCCCTCTATCAGAAGAAGCATAGTTTATAGCATAATTTAAAAACAAAGAAAAGAGAAAACAAACCAACAAAAAAATCCCAGCATTCAGTAATACTGCCTTCAAGCTGTAGACACATCTATTTCCACAAAACAATTTGGTCAGGAAATTTTATTTGAACATCCTAAAGCAATGATGCTTTAGATGTTACTTAATTGTCCCAGGCAGGATTAACAAAATTAAATGTTTCTAAATCACAAATTTAGCTCTTGTAGTCTTGGAAAGAAAACAGAAAAACAACCCCCCACCCCAAAAAAGAACTGACACACACTTTTGAAGAAACCCCGATGTTCTCATGCAGTGGTAGGCAAGATGTAAAAAGCCACCCAAATCCACACATTTCTACACCAATCATCATCAGAAAAAAGGACTCCGTAGTCACTCTGTACATCCAAATGCATTTGGGAATCTACACCTACGTTACATTATTTAATGTTATATACATTTATAACCCACCCCCCTTTGTAATAATTTCTTATGTAAAGCCTTCATTCAAATCCAAAAAAGATGTATGACTAACACGGGGAGGAAAAAAAGATAATCACTTTAGACATTCAGTTAAAATGTATTTATCTAGATCTCAAAATGTTTAATAAAAACAAATTATCTTCTCCATTTAACATTTTGCTTGCTTTCTAACTGTATAGTAAATTGCATTGTAGAGAGTACATCTCTATCTTCAGGCTGCATTTTCTTTGGATGGAATTAGGATGTAACTGGATAGTTTTAAGATAAATAAATCGGAAGGTAGTTCAACTAAGATGACAGCAGATATATTACATGCAGGATTTAATATTTTTAAAAATTTTCTCTTAAAAAAAAAAAAGGATGCAACTGAATTTGGGGAGAAGGTAAAAAAAAACCTGGATTCAATATATAAAAATGTCCCACAATAGGTCGACGATGGCAGTAAAAATAAGAGAAAAGAAAGTAATCTTTCTGGAACATCATTTCTCAATAACATAGAAATACTAAGTGCCAGGAAGATTTCTACCCATGTAATTTTAACATCCATGTTTCCCTCTATTTATTTTATTGGAACAAATGCTTTAAACAAACTATTTGTCCTCTTCACTGAAGAGAGCTGGTCTATTTCATCTTTAATGAGCTAGTTTTTGGGAAGATTAGCCATGTACTGTAGTAACGCCTACTGCATAAAATTCAAGCATTTGCTGTGAACAGTTGGAGAAAGCAGTCAGTAAGAACCTAGGATCAATGGAAATAGATGTTACGCCATCCATGACAGAGAAACCCACAATGTACCCAGTGCTAAGCCCAAATCTCTTCCTTTGCTTTTTTTGCTGTGCAAGTTCCACCCCTATGAAACAGAAACTGATCCGAAGTTCCAGACTTCCTTAGGTCTCTAGTCAATTTTCACATTTGTATAGATTTTTCGGACAAAGGCACTTGTTCCCATGTAACCAATTGCTCCTGTAAAGACAAAATAAGACGTTTTGAAATAAAAACATACAGAGCAGGATCCATGATTTACAGACAGTGAATACCCACTATTCTGCAAAGTTATTTTTTCTTCAAGATAATGACTTTATGTTAGTGCCTGTGAACTTGTTAAAATTGTATCATTTTCTCTGCAAATCAACTACTATCATTATATATTAAGTCTGACCTAAACTAATTTTTAAAACATCAAACAGCAATTATTACTTGTGTAATCAACAATTAGGGAGTTAAAATATATCTCTTGCAAAGCAAAATAATTTGATAAAGAACAAAATTCATTAAATAAAAAAATGATAAGGGTGCTTCAAAAACTTTGTAAAAAAACACATCAATAATATTTCTAGAGTTTTGGTCTTCATAATTTCAGAACAGATACTTAGGGATTCTTAAGGTAGCATACATTATCTTTATCATTAAATTAGTAGGCCTTTATGTTTATGTACCAAAATAAACATCTTTTAATTATTCTTCTGTGAATTTTTTGAAGCAGAAAAACATTATCATAGGGTCAGTAAAGCAGTATTAATAAACATTAATAAATGTTTCAAAACTTTGTGGACATGTAAGTTAGAAGTGACAGGGAGAGCCACAGTGAATAAGGCAATGGCTTTTGCAGCTCTAAAGAAGAGTGATTCTCTAATAGTCTCTTTTTCACATTTAAGTTATAGAGCAGTGTCACTGGTAAAATGTAGGATGATAGATAAGTAAGACCAGAACTATGAAATGTTTTTGAATAAGTAGCTTCACTTGGACTCAAGACTTTAGGAAGCAGGATACTTGGCTACCTCCTGTGTGGAAAGGCCTGGTACATGCTAAGGATCTCAATATATTATCTACTGAATGAAGGAAGGAACTGGATAGTTCTCTATTGTCAATACTAACGGCTCTTTAGAACAAGACAGTTGGTTATTGAACTGTCAAAGGAAACTCTCCAGTGGATTTAGGAATTTATCAGTTGGCCTACTATTATCAAAAAGTTAAAAATAAATCTTCAATAAGCTAACAAGCACACACACATACATACACACCTAACTGGTAACCTTTGAATCAACTTTCAGTTTATTTTCACTGTTAAGTGAAACAAAAGAAACAAGTATTTGCTCTGCTTTTTCTATATACTAACTGAACCTCAAAGTAACTAAATGGTTTTTGAAATGAAGAACTATTCCTTGTAGACATATCCTGGCTAGTAAATACAAAGCTCTGAATTAGGCAAAGATTGTAACTGGGTGCTAATCTCATGGAAGTTTTCAAACTACTGCTAAGTATTCTTGGACAAATATACCCAAGTATGATCAAGTCTAAAGACTGAACAATCTGTAATTATCACAGAAAATAGGGAAGATGGGGAGTACATAAAGAAACAGTAAATGATACAACAGCAATATAATCAGACAATCCAAACTGTGGAAAATACTACAGAACTTTTAAAAAGTTCTTTTGAAAAACAAATTGCAAAAGAAGAGGGAACATCTATAGATTTGGAGAACCTAAATGACATTTAACCAAGCAATGCATGGATTTTAATTTTGATCCTGACATAAACAAGCTATTACAAAAGAGATATAAGGCCTGGTGCAGTAGCCTAGTGGCTAAAGTTCTTGTCCTGCACGCCTGTGATCCCATATGGGCGTCAGTTCATGTCCCAGCTGCTTTACTTCCCATCCAGCTCCCAGCTTGTGGCCTGGGAGAGCAGTTAAGGATGCAATCCCTTGGGACCCTGTACCCATATAGGAGACCTGGAGGAGGCTCCTGGCTCCTGGTCTGGATCAGTGCAGCTCTGGCCATTGCAGCTACTTGGGGAGTGAATCGGCAGATGGAAGATCTTTCTCTCTGTCTCTCCTCCTCTTCGCATATCTGACTTTCCAATAAAAATAAAATAATCCTTAAAAAAAAGATACAGTAATACCAGTTGAATACTAATTTGATGCTTCATCATTTTTATAAATTATCCTGAGCTTTAAAGAGAAATTAATACTAAAATATTTATAGTTAAAATGATACAAGCTCTGAAATTTATTCAGAATAAAAAGGGGGATGTGTAAACCTTCAGCTCAGTCGTTACGACAGGCTAAGACACCAACATCTCACACTGAAGCTCTGGCTTCAATCACTAGCCCTGGTTGCTGACTCCAGGCTCCTGCTAATGCAGATCCAGGAAGGCACTGCTGACAGCTCCAGTAGGTGATTCCCTGCTATCCACATGGGAGACTCACATTATGTACGGAGGTCCCGGCTTCACCTTTGGTCCAGTCCTGGCCACTGGGGGGTTTGGGGAAAGATCAGTGGAGGAGAGCTGTCTATCTCTCTCTCAATGTTTCTTTCTGCCTCTCAAATGAATAAAAAAATTTTTAAGAGGGTATAAGGAAGACTTGCCATAAGGTGGTAACTACTGGCGTTGGGTACTATATATGTAATGACTCACTATATACATTACTGCTCCTCTTGGTATGTATTTTAAATTTTGCCAGAAATTAAACATTAAAATCGCAAAAAAAACATGTCACAATGACAAGCCAAATGTATTTCCGATTATTTTGTAATGACCACAGACACTTCTTATACAAATATTACACGCCAAACCTGAGTTCTCAAAACGCACAGAAAAACCTATAAATCCAATTTTCCAGACTTACAAAATATTGTTCCCCTCTGAGCATGGATATGCTTAAAATCAAAACATTAACAACCCAGGGGAACATTTTTCCTAATTAGGAATATCTTAAGAATAAACTTATCAAAAATTTGAATTTCTAAAAAGAGAATATTGTATATGCTTGTTAGTTTCCTTGAAACAAAAACACTATGCTCCTACAGAAAAGACTATAACAATTTAAATACCTCCTGCCTTAACACAGTCATTCCTTTCCTACATTTAAAAAAAGCCTACACACAGCAAATATACTCCTTTAATTAATGTTTTAGCAACATTAAGTCATGGTTATGCACAATTTTTGTATAAATGATGACTATTTAATCAGTTTCAGTCTGAAAAGTTTCCCCAATCTGCAACCCCAAATATATGAATGCTGAAGACATATAAACCAATTAATAATGAATAATGCTAGGGCACTGTCAGAGCACCAGGGAACTAAAAATGTACCAAGATTTTTAGCAAGATAAAATCCAACAGAAGATGGAGCCAAGAAATTTAGTTAAGATTCATTTCTTCTTCCTGTTCTCATTTTTATTTTTTTTGTGAATGTCAAGATGCTACATTACTTTCACTCTCCTTAATATTACCTGGAGAAAGTCAAGGAAAAATGTTAACCTTAGAGATAATCATACATCTGTCCTTCTCTGAGTGCTGAGGATGATCTTTGTGCACATTGTGGCACAGCCCACAGCTGCTCTAAGATGTGCACAAACGCCATGACCCAGCTTTGAACAAAATTCTTTTATCTTTCTTTTTCTACTTTGCACCCTACCACTAAAAGCAGAACTATCATGAAATAAATGAGGGGAAGGAGCCACGGTTAATAGCAGGGAAGAGGGCCTGCATTACATACTCTCTGGAAATATCACAGTGATTAGTCCCTATTCCACACATCATCACTAGGATGTAACTAAATCAGGCTTATTCCCTGAATAAAGCAGCAGAAGGGCAAAAATGTATTTGCAAGGGTTTCCCATAAAATGTTATGCAGAGGTAAAATGTGCAGGTGCAGAAATCCATGGGGGCTGAGCAGGACAAAGCCACCACCCCAGAGCAGGAGGAAGTCCAGAACTTCTGACCCTCACAGCTGTTGGCAGAAGCCCCACTGACTTGATGCTTACCCATATTCAGTCAAGAATGCTCCTCACACTTCTGCAAGATAGGTTTTACTTCTATTTTACCAAACAGTGAAATTGAGGAAGAAAGGTTCCCTAACATGGCTACTAAGTGCCAGGCCTTCTCATGCCACAGCACAGCTCTCACAAGTAACTGGCTTTCCCTTACCACCGCCACAACTCTCAACCCTCTAAAAGACATGCCATATGACAGGTGAGAATGAGACCTAAAGAAGTTAATATGACTTCCTTAGCTGAAACAAGGGAACAGCAGTGGGAAGATCTAATCCAGTCCTGAGGTCACTCTGATCCAGGCCCTATCCTTTTACTGTGCTGTTTCCAAGGGTTCCTTCTCAACTTGTGTCACAGATGTTAGAGATTCCACTGGATGGCAGCAGCAATTGCTTCTTCCCTTCCTGGAGCTTGATTATACTCATGAAACAGTGGTGCTATCCTCATTTTACACAGATTTGCAAGGCTTGGGAAACTGGATCAAAGACCCAAGGTCAGAACTGAAGCCCAGTATATAGGCAGCCCAAGATGTACTCATAACTAGTAAACTGTGCTGCTTCCTGGTCACCCGTACCTCAATGATGAGCAGAAACTCTCACACAGGAAGTACTCAGACAAAACCTTAACCTATCTACCTACATCATGATATTTCCAATAAAACTAAGTTTAAAAGATACCAGTTCTCAACATAAATGAGAAACTAATTGTAGTATGGGATTAATTCTAAACTACATAGAACTATTAGCATTCTGAAAAAAAAAAAAAAACAGAAATGAGGTAAGAGAGTGAAAAAGGCCTGAAATCAAACTCATGAGTTTATTTTGATGTTTGTAAACAACAGAATGGAATTTCCTAATTTTGAATTACTGTATTTTTCTGATTCTGAGACACTCAAGCGATTTACCCAGAATGTCAGAACTTACCACACATTATCCCCAATGCTGTGCTAAATACTGCCATATAGCCAAAGTAAAATGATGTTTGAAATAAGCCATACATCCTGAAAGAAAACAAAATAACTATATATAATATACATTTCACTTTCAACACAGGCTTTATACTTGTATATTTAAAGGACAAATTTAATTTTTTAATAAAAAATGTGTCCACTTACTTTGTTTTGAAAAAATAGTAGTAAAAGGAATACATGTAAACATAGATGGCAGTTGACGCAGCAGAGAGAAAGCTTGTCCATTGCCTGGGGGGAGGGGGACAGCTCGTGAGTGAATGGCACAGAGGCAAAGACTGTAAAGAAAATCACTTTATAATAACATCTTTTAATAAAATTCAACTGCATCTACAAAGTCATTAAACATACCACAAAGAAAAGATCCTAAGAATCGGACGGAAAGATTTTGAATACTGTCTTATTCCCTGCTATAAGCAACCTTATTAAATGTTTCCTTTTCCAAATCTGAGTCTGAAATGAACAGATACCTCTTCATAACTATTTCTAACACTACATTCCCTGTTAGTAAAAGACAGAGGGCATTTTCCCTCTAAAATTGTACTTTTACAATTTGAAAAGAATTCTCTTATATTATCTTAAGCAGCAAAATTTCTATACAATTGTTTCATCCCGGGTGATAAAGGGAAAATCTTATTTTAAAATGCAGTCCCCAGAGGTTCTTCTGAGAACTACTTACCACCGATAATCCTCTGCATTGAGTAGGAAGTATGTGCACACAATGGTCACACAGACAGTCACAATGCACAGGATGACCAGCACCAGCATCATGAAGCCATAGACATAATAGATCTTATACGCCCAGAAAGATGTGAAGATGAAATACCTGAAGAAAACAGAAGCAAACATAGGTTTCTGAATTTATTCTTGAAGTTGAAGCTGTTCTTGCTAAGCCTGTACTTCGATTCTCATTTTGGTTGCCCCTGAAGTAACTTCCATGTTTCCCTTGCCCCTTCTCATCTATTAAATCTGGAAGAATTCCGTCAAAAATATTTTGAGGATAATGTTTCAAAACAGATCCATCAATATGGCATTTAGTTCTAAACAAACTGACTAGATTAAAAGTTTAAAGACGTGAAATGCTGAAAAAGAAAAACAAATAGCTAAACATTTATAAAACAGAAACAACTCTCTACGCTTTTTCCCCTTTTTTGGAGGGAGGGGGAGAAGATACAGCACCAGTGAAGCAAAACATGTCATAGCTTACAAATGTTCCATTAGACAGGAAAATAAATGAGAGAATAATAATGCATAATATTAGGAAAAATCAGAAAAAGAATGCCTACAGCAGCACACTACCTTTGAAAGGCAAGAAGGAAAGGACATTAAGCTTGCTTTTTTTTTTTTATGATTTACTTTACTGTTATTTGAACAATTAAAAAAAGTGGTCTTCCATCTGCTGGTTCACTCCCCAACAACCACAAAGGCCAAAATTCAAGATGGTTCAAAACTAGGAGCCAGGAACTTTCTCATAGTCTCCCACATGAACCAAGCAGTCGAGCCACCCTCTGCTTTCCCAGGCCATATGCAGGGGGTTGGATCGGAAGTGGAGCAACCAGGACACAACTTGTGCCCATATAGGATGCTGGCACTACAGGTAAAGAAGGCTCAGCCAATTAAACCATGGCGCTAGTCCCAAGATTTGTTTCAACGTGTGTGTGTGTATATTTAAATATTTATTTTTATTGCAAAGTCAGATATTCAGAGAGGAAGAAAGTCAGATATTCCATCCGATGAATCACTCCCCAAGTTACTGCAACAGCTGGTGCTGTGCTGATCTGAAGCCAGGAGCCAGGAACTTCCTCTGGGTCTCCCACATGGGTGCAGGGTCCCAAGGCTTTGGGCAGTCCTCAACTACTTTCCCAGGCCACAAGCAGGGAGCTGGATGGGAAGTGGAGCTGCTGGGATTAGAAGCGGAGCCCATATGGGATCCTGGAGCATTCAAGGCAAGGACTTTAGCCACTAGGCCACAACACTGGGCCTATGTGTATATATTTTTAAGTGATACATAATAGTTGCATATATACAGTGTGATGCTCTGATACACATATCTAATCAGGGTAACTGACAAATGCACCACTTGACTTCACTGTGTTAGAAACATCAAAATCTTATCTACCAATTCTTTTAAAATATTGCATACTGTCAACCATAGCTGACATTCTGCTGCACTGTAGGACATTACAAGTTATTAATCCTGTTTGTTAGACCATTTATTTATCATTCACTTTTTCAACAAATACACAGAGCCCCCAACACGTTTCAGGAGAGCAATAAGAAGAGCTAGTGCAGTCAATGGAGGGTACTGGTGGGTGGTGAAACACCAGTAAAGTGACAATCACAATACCCTGTGGTGTAGGTTATATACCAATGCACACATGAGGGGCATCTTGGTTGGACTGAGTAGAAATTACTGAGAAGAATGAAATATGAAAGAGGCTTGAGGTTAGGAGTTTAGAATAGTGCTCCAGGCATAGAAAATAGAATGCTTTGCAAAGATTCAATAAGATGAGTGTTGACACGGCTATCAAATTGAGGGACCAACGTACAAGTCCAGGAGTCTGCACTTTACATTCTTCAGACCTTTATGTTCTTGTTCCACTTTTAAGACTTAGAATCACTAAAGCTATGTAACAAATATCAAAGGAAAAATGGCAGAAACTTGAATGAGTAGACAAATCAGTGATTAGTTCTTTGGCTGTACATTAAAAAAAAAGTCAGCGAAGGACAGAAGGATGTGCACTCAGTTGCTGTAAAATAAAATGTTATTTACCTTTTTTAAATAAATTGCTTACATGACCAGCTGTTTCAATGAACTAGCTACCAAATCCAATCATGTCTGTTAAGCAGGCTTCACTATACCTACCAGTGCAGCATCTGGAAGCATTAAGGATATTCTGAGTTGCCACAGTGATGGGCCACATGACAGCCAAGAACCAGGGAGTATGAAAGTAGAACCTCAGACAGTTTATACAAAGAGCTGTACAGCCTAAAACAGTCAAGCATTCCGACCAGGGAACATTGAAAACAACAAGGAATAAGAGCCGAGAAAAGAAAGCCTTATATTTTGCTGTAGGATACAGATATGAAACAGTAAGTGGGCACAGGTGGCAGGCCTCCCATACTCAAATACACACACATTCCCAGAACTCCTGCAGGCCTCTGAGGAAAAGTCTGGAAATTAGTATGCACCAAAAATGTCAAGGTCTAGATTAACTAGCATATAATGTTACCATGTTCCCTGGACCTCAGAAACACTAAATACACACAAAAAAAAAACCCAGACATTTCTTACAAATTTCTTACAAAAATATTTCTTACAAAGGCTGGTCAGACATTTTCAAGTACATATGCTTTGATTCCAAAGTTTTGTAAATTCTCTTATCATAATCACATTCCCTAAACATCAATGAGCATACTGTCAAAACTTACATTTCAATAAAGATTGAGCCAAAAGGCAAAATTCCTCCCAGGCAAACAATAACTGCAGGCTCCATGAACCTAGAAAAGAGAAATTACAGTAAACTTTTAATACGACTTTCTTATTATAACACATAAATATTGTTAATAGAAAGCAGATGCCTAATACTTTAAAAACATTATGCCTAAAGAACAGAAAACAACCAGTAAAATGAAAACCAAAATTCAAAGTGGCAAAATGCATAGGTGGGACTATCAATTGCCACAGGTTATCATCAGTACTCCTCCTAGCATTAAAGGTTAAACATTCAGGGGAAGTTAATTAACCGCCACTGGCAGAACTCCAGAAAGACTTTATAAGCATTTACTAACAGAAAATCAAAAGAAGGTTCGGCCACTTGGCATAAAAGCTCAGACTCCACTTGGGATCCAGGCACCTCATAACAGAGTGTCTAGAGAGAGTACCAGTTCTCTTTGCTTCTACCTTCCTCCTAATACACATCTTGGGAGGCAGTTAGCAAGATTCAAGTATTCAAGTACTTGCACTTCCCACCACCCACTTGAAAGACTCAGTTTGAGTTCCTGGTTCCTGACTTTGGTCTGGCTCAGCCCAGGTAGTTTTAGGTTTTTGAGGAGCAAGTCAGCAGATAAAGATTTCTGTTTATCAAATAAATAAAAAACAAATTAAAAGAAACAAGAAATGCAGACTCTTGGTCCCTTCTGGCCCCTCACCCAGAGCTCACAGTTTAAGAAGAAACCCAGGTGTCTCCACTGCCCCCTAGCCTGCAAGAAGCCCTGATTCAGAAGAACCCTTGTGGGCTCTGCTTCTCACCTTGCTCCTAGATGGGCAAAAATAATGAATTGGGAGAGTGATTTTCCCAAATAATCAGGTTGGGAAATCAGCTATCTCAGATAGCTATTTCAGCTGGCTTTGGGAGCTCTCACCATGCCTGCCAGATGCAAACACCTTGCTCATGCTGGCTAGACTGGACTGGGGCCTCCCAGACTGAAGGGAGAAGGATGGGCCCTCCCAGCAGCACAGGAAGAGATTGCTGGCCATAACTAATCTACAGATGTTCACCTAAAGATTCTGCCAGGAGCCTTTTAGCACAGCCTTTCACAGCTAGAGCCATGGGAAAGGTGCAGCAAGCTTGGATTTTATAACAAGGATGGAGCAGTCATGGGAGATTTCTCTCTCTCTGCCATTCAAAGAGAATAAAAATTCAAAGTACTGGCTCAAATGTCCTCTTAAAAGTCCTTCTTGAGTCTCCAAGGAAGAGAAAGGCTCTTCCCGCCTTTTCCCACTGCCTCTAACTTCATCACAACACATACAACACTATACTTTAATTGTTCAATTACAGACACAGCTAATCTCTCCAGACTACAAACCCAAGCAGGCAAAAGCTCTTCTAGGTGTTCCCACTGTCTATTCCAGTATCTAGCACAGGAAATATACTAAGTTAATACATTTGGAAACAATCAAAAAACAGAGAAGAAAATTAACAAAAATTATTTTGAGAGCTGACAAAAATAATCTAGTAGTCTTCCCTCATTTTACAGGAAGTCAAGACCCAGAGGATAAAGGCGATCTGCCTAAGCTGGCATTCCCACTGACAGCAAGATCTAGGAGTCAGATTCCATTTCCCATATGGTGACATTTTTTTAAAAAAGCAGATAGTCATGAGTTTCCCCATATCTCAATGTCATACATGCTGTTTAGTCCTCTCCTTGATGGTCCTGAACATCAGCCTAACAATGGGTCCTATCAATTTAATATTGATTATTTTTTAAACTTACGAAAACTTCATAACCAAATTTTTTGTTAGCCCCAGTATAGAAAAAACATGGCAAAGCCCTAAGATGAAATCAAATCACTCTTCTCTAAACTACAGGAACTGTTTTATTCAGTTTATTTCTAGAAATGCATACATGTTTCCATGTCTAGAAAAGAGAACAGTCAGCACCTGTTTAAGTACCTGAAAGTAAGTTATATTCGTATTTATAATGTGGTAAAATTCATAGGAACAGAGGCTTTTCAATATAAATTCTTTGTTAGGAATCTGTATGGGCTACTGCACAGTGATTCTTATGAGATGCAAGTATGTAACAGCAAGACTGTTCTGTATTTGCTATTAAAATCTAGGCAATTAAAGCAGAAGCACATCTAATTTTATTTTAAAGATTTATTTATTCTTTTTGGAAAGTCACAGTTATAGAGAGAGGTGGGACACAGAGAGATTTTATCGTATCTGCTGGTTAACTTCTCAAATGGTCACAATAGCTTGAGCTGGGCTGATCTGAAGCCAGGAGCCAGGAGGTTCTTCCAGGTCTTTAGTGTGGATGTAGGGTCCTAAGACTTTGGGCTGTCCTCCATTGCTTTCCCAGGCCACAAGCAGGGAGCTGATCAGAAGCGGAGCCGCTGGAACTTTAACCCGCACTCACATGGGATGCTGGTGCTGCAGGCGCAGGATTAACCTTCTAAGGCACCAAGCTGGTTGCCTCAACTAATTTTAAGAGGCAAAATACAGGAGCTGGCATTGTAGCTGGTGCTGCAGGTGCAGGATTAACCTTCTAAGGCACCATGCTGGTTGCCTCAACTAATTTTAAGAGGCAAAATACAGGAGCTGGCATTGTAGCTTAGCAGAAAAAACTACCACCTGCAATGCTAGCATCTAAGTGCCAGTTTGGGCCCAGGCTGCTCCACTTCTGATCCAGGTCCTGGACAACAGTCTGGAAAAATCACAGGAGGATGACCCAAGTTTTGGGGCCTCTGTCACTTATGATGGAGACCTGGATGAAGCTCCTGGCTCCAGACTGACTCAGTGCTGGTTTGTTGCAGGAAACAGGGGAGTGACAAAGGGGATGAAGATCTTTCTCTGTCTTACTCTTTACAATTCTTTCAAAATAAGTAATTTTTTTAAAGAGCAAAAATATATGTACTATGAATTAATTTTGTTCAAATGTGCTTATTCCAAAAACTAGGAAAGAAGTATTTTTCAAAAAATATAAATCAGCTCAAAGATATGGCAGAAATCATGATTTCAAAGCTAACTGGCTAAATAACTGTAATCCATTTTATACTGCTGTCATAGCTGTTAAGTAGATTAATCTTAAATCATAGGAGGTATACAAGAACATACTCTCTGCAAGCAGTGTGACAGGTAAGTGTGTTCTAGAGATTCTACATTATCCTGTCCCAGGGTAAAAATAAGTACAATTAGCAAATAGCAATTGTCTCAATCCTAATTTACCTCCCAAATGGCAGGACGTATACAGACATAAATAAAGTATTCTAAATAATGTATATACAGCCTGCATATTTAGAATAATCTAGTATTAGGAAAGAAAATGAAACTGCAAGCTAGGGATTAGCAAACTTTCTCTATAAAGGTTCAGACAGTATATATACACCAAGTTTTGCAGGTGATATGGTCTCTGTCGTAACTACTGACATACCAAGTCTGTAAAAGCAGCCATATTCGATACATAAACAAATGGACATGGCTATATTCTAACAAAATTTCATTTGCAACAGGCACCAGGTCAATTTTGAACTGCAGGCTTATAAACTGTTCTAGTTCCCACTCATTTCCACATACTAGTGTATTATCAGAGCATCTGATTTATCTCTCTCTGTAAAGAGCACTGATTCAGAGTGAGATAAGAATGGAATTTATTATGATTCCAAACACTGCAGGGTAAAATTTAAATCAGCAAGTTCCAAGGCCCAAAGAGTACCATCGCAGAAAAACATGTCAATTCTAAAGCTACATACCTAAAACAATTTAATAACTTATATATCGTAAGAAATCATTGCATGAGATTTAGCATTCTCTTTACCATTTTTTCTCCGGTATAGGACGAGGCACAGCATTGACACGACAAGGAAAGTTGGGCTGACCTGACAGATTTCGGCCAAGTATTGTACCAACAAGATTTAGAGGAAGAATAACAAAAAAACAGATGCAACAAACGGCCACCTGTAAATTAAATAAAATGTGTGTGATTACTCAGAAAACAGCAACACTAATAAAAACAAATAAAGGAGACACTTAAAAATTTAAAGACAATTTAATCACAAAAGAAAATGTTTACTATGGGCTAAAATTATACAAGCTATACACTGATGAAATTAAGAAAAGAATGTGCTTTAAAGTACTAGCATTAGAAATGACTTAGATACAAGTTGATCTCTCTGCCATCAATTACTCAAATTATTCCTGTTCCATACTATCTGCTACAGTCTTTTTCTCCCTTTTTTGTTTTCACTTCAAGCTATCAGGCTTTGAATAAATAAAGGCACTTCAAAACTTCATGGAAATGGATTAAAAGACAATGTGTATTTTCCAAGTTCCCTTTATCCTTAATCATTATAACCAACTTATGAATTTTTTACTCAACTATAATTAATTGAGATGTTAATATATTCAGGGAACTTACACATTATTTCTGTACTTTATAGATGAAGAAAACGAAGTGCACAGAGGCTAAAGTAAGTTCTCATGATTTTATAGCTAATAGGCAGGCATCCAGATTAAAATCTCAGCTTATATACACCACTTTCAAAGCCTACTCTCTTTACTATTTATTCTATGTTGCCTTGGAATCCTAATAACTGAAGCAAATCTCAACATATACAATGTGCACACATGTATACATATGAGTACATGTGCAATTTTACATGTGCACACACATATGTCAATAAGAAAAAAAAAGTTTTCTGCCCAATGGTTCATTGTCTAAATTTACGGAAGACCATATAGATTCCATAGCAAAGATGGCCAATTTGGAAAACAATTCTGTGACATTTTTTTCTTTATAGAAGCTTCATACATAAGGACACACGTTAGCTTTTTTCTGACCAACATCTAGTTCAGACCACTTGACTATAAACACCCTTAAAATGGAGTAGAACTGAATCATCTTTGAGATCTCTTTCAATTATACATTTTTGAGTTTCAATCAACAGAAAGTGAAAGTGAGACAAGTTGAATGAAAATTAATTGTGAAGGAACTGGCTGAAAGGAATGAAGAAGTATGAGAAACTCCACGGATATGGCATGAGAAGGAGACAATCTCTTGAGGTAACATTAGTGAAAACTATTCACTTCATTACATCCCCTATGTGTGGCTAAAGAAACCAGAGTATCATCTTCATTCCAGATAAAACCTTTGTACATCTGTGAGTTAAGAAAACTCTGCAAGCATGGGCCTTGTGTTACAGTGGACAACGCTGCACTCTGCAACACAGGGATCCCATATGAGTGCTGGTTCTGTTCCCAGCTGCTCCACTTCTAATTCAACTCCCTGTTAATAGCATGGGAAAAACAGAGGAAGAGGACCCAGGTGTAATGGCCCCTGTACCCACATGCGTGCAGCTCCTGGCTCCAGCCCTGTCTAACACTGACCATCGCAGCCATCGCAGGAGTGAAACAGCAGACAGATCTGACTATCCCTCTCTTTATGACTTGTTCAAAATAAGCAAGTGAATCTCTTTGCATAATGACCCAGTGGTTAAATCCTCGCCTTGCATGTGCCAGAATCCTATATGGGAACCAGTTCATGTCTTGCCACTCCACTTCCTATCCAGATCCCTGTTTGTGGCCTGGGAAAGCAGTGGAAAATGGCCCAAAGTCTTGGACCCTGCATCCATGTAGGAAACCAAGAAGAAGCTCCCAGCTCTTGGCTTCAGATCAGCTCATCTTTGGCCATTGCCACCTCTTGGGGAGTAAACCTGTGAATAGCAGATCTTTCTATCTCCTTCTCTCTGTAAATTAGCCTATTCAAGGAAAATAAATAAATCTTAATTTAAAAACAACTATTATTTTTCTGGCAATTTATCAGAACTTTAATTTCGAATAAAGATGAACAAGAGCTCAGAAAACATTCCTAGGTGGAGCTACATGGTCTGAGAGGATGGCTTACACACTGTCCCAAGGATCTCTCAAAGTTCCGCTCTGCGGCTTCTGTGATTGTTCAGGCACTTGACTGGAATATCCCGACAACAACTTTAAAACATTTTTTAACAGTAATAAAAATATGTAGAGTGAAATGAATTGTACACCAAATTTTATCACAATACAGACAACCTAAATTTATTCAGTTTTATGCAAACACAGAATACCTTTTTTCCTATTATCTCCCTGCATATATATCCAAACTTCTGGAAAATGCATCCCTGATGAGGAAGACTCATAAGGCTATGGTAGGCCTTCTTCCGGTCTCAATCCAAGCCTGCACGCATCTGCTTGTTACTGCAGCACCTGTGTATCACAGGCTGCGTGTGGCCGTGGAGAAAGGGCACTTGGCGCCTGGAGGACACACTGCAGACCGTTTATGCTCCTGTGACAATCTCATCAAGCACCACGAACAAAAACAAAAGTAATCTTCCCTTGTTCTTTTTGGATTTCTCTGCACGTGATAAGAAGACTGTGTGTCTGCTTGTCAGAAATTTTTGGTAATCAAATTGTGAAACCAATTCCCTTATGCTCAAGCTTCGGAAGAATTTACTTGAAGAAATCTCCAAGAACACAAGACAAGCTGTTGAAAACATCACATGGAACTAATTCACTTGTGATGTCAGAATATTTCTCAATACTGATAACCAAATAAATTCATTACTGATGAAGATACACTGACCTGTTATTCTTACTCCTTATTATTAGATTTGTAGTCATCACAACTCTATTGCTATCATTAGAGTGATGAAACAGTGAACTTGCAAAACATATTTTTAGTCATAGAACCACACTTACATCTGTTTTCTATATTGAGCCTTCACTTGAAGATTTCATTTGAAAATGAAATTTAGCAGGTAGCATTAATAGAAAAATTGATGTTAAAAAAAAAAACTGCAGGAATCCTAGAATTTAGATAACTGCAAGACCTTCTCCATGCCTTTTAGTCACCATGCCACCACAGGCCAAAGGAGAAAAGGAAGAGAAAAGTTTGACTCTATGCTGCTGTCTGTCTCTTCCCTCCTACCTGCAGCAAGGACACAGAACCGAGCACTGCCACTCAGTATTTACTACCCCAAAGACCTGCCACCTGTCAGCTCTTCTCAAATCTCAGAAAAGATGTAGCTGTTATTTATTCTATCTGCTTCCAAACTAACTTCTTATGAGATCTGTGGTATGAATGGAATGGAAAGAAAAAGAGTCTATCATGTGTTATTTTGGACATTTTAAGGGCAAAACATTCTCAGGAAATGAATCATTCTTCAGCTACTATGCTTAATCATTTCTTCAATTTCTATTACTACTTTGCTAACTCATGTTCTTTATTATTTTTTGTCTATATTAAAATTATTCAGTTTTGGGGCCAGTGCCACAGCATAGGTTAAACATCTGCCTATAGCACTGGCATCCCATATAGGTACTGGTTTGTTTTCTGGTTGCTCCACTTCCCATCTAGCTTCCTGCTTATGGCCTGGGAAGGCAGTGGAGGATGATTTAAGTCCTTGAGACTATCCCATATGGGATATGGGAGACCCAGAAAAGGCTCCTGGCTTTGGAATGGCTCAGCTCTGACAGTTGCAGCCATGTGGGGAGTGAATCAGCAAACAGAACATTTCCTTCTTCCTCTCTCTTTCTGTGCATATCTACCTTTCCAATCAAAATAAATATTAAAAAAAAAACCAGCCTCTATTCAGGAATTTTTACTATTGGACCCACTAATCACAGCATTATCAACTCTAACAAATATACATGCAAGAAGCCTATCTACTTTATACAGATTTTTTTTCTGTGAGATTTATTTTCATTGGAAACACAGATTTTACAGAGAGCAAGACATTCACCATTCACTGGTTCACTCCCCCATGGCCACAAAGGCCAGAGCTGAGCCCATTTGAAGCCAGGAGTCTCTTCTGGGTCTACCACGTGGATATAGGGTCCCAAGGCACTGGGGTTATATTCCTCTGCTTTCTCAGACCACAGGCAGGAATCTGGATGGCAAGTGGAGCAGTGGGACACAAACTGGTACCCATATGGGATCCCCAGCACTTACAGGGGGAATATTAGCAAATTGAGCCATTGTGCCACCCTCCCACCCCCAGATATTTTCGATATGTTAATATGTAACTTGCCATTTTGTTTCTTGGCTACTCCAATACACTAGTGGAAGTAAAAACTCAATGTTTGAAACAAACACTATTCTGCTACCAAAATCACGGAAGAAAACTATGTAGCTTTTACAATATATATGTAAAAAAATTTAGCAAATAGAATTTAACAATATATAAAATGGATAATACATCCCGAAAAACTTAAGTTTATGCAGGAATGACAGAAAATTAATAAATGCTACTGACTATATTATCAAACTAGTAAAGTCCAAGTCATCTCAAAAGATACAGAAAGGATTTTGTAAGATTCAGTATGTTTTGGGCCCGGCACGGTGGCGCAAGTGGTTGAAGGTCCTCGCCTTGCACGCCCAGGATCCCATATGGGCGCCGGTTCTAATCCCAGCAGCCCCGCTTCCCTTCCAGCTCCCTGCCTGTGGCCTGGGAAAGCAGTCGAGGACGGCCCAAAGCTTTGGGAACCTGCACCCGCGTGGGAGACCCGGAGGAGGCTCCTGGCTTCGGATCGGCATAGTATCGGCCTGTTGCACTCACTTGGGGAGTGAATCATCGGACGGAAGATCTTCCTCTCTGTCTCTCCTCTCTGTATATCCGCCTTTCCAATGAAAAAATAATAAAAATAAATCTTTAAAAAAAAAAAAAAAGATTCAGTATGTTTTGGGCCCGGTGGCGTGGTCTAGTGGCTAAAGTCCTTGCCTTGAATGTGCCAGGATCCCATATGGGTGTCGGTTCTAATCCCAGCAGCTCCACTTCCCATCCAGCTCTCTGCTTGTGGCCTGGGAAAGCAGTCAGAGGACAGCCCAAAGCTTTGGGACCCTGCACCTGTGTGGGAGACCTAGAATGAAGTTCCTGGCTCCCGGGTTCGGATCAGCATAGCATCGGCCATTGCACTCACTTGGGGAGTGAATCATCGGACGGAAGATCTTCCTCTGTCTCTCCTTTCCTCTCTGTATATCTGACTTTGTAATAAAAATTAAAAAATCTTAAAAAAAAAAAAAAAAGATTCAGTATGTTACTAATTCTAAAAGCTCAGAGAAATACTGAGTAAAAAGGAATTATATCAACCTGATAAAGAACATACACAAAAACACTATATATACATTTTACTTAATAACAGAAGACTGAATGTCTCAACCATGCTCCTAAACAAGACTGGGAAGCAGGCTAGAATTTCTGTTCTCACTACTTCTAAATTGCACCATGGAGGCTTATCCCATACAATAAAGCCAAGAAAAAAAAATTAGACAAAGATAAGAAAAGAGAAATAAAACTGCTTTTAAGAATCTCTATTTATTTAAAATTTAAAAGTCAGTAAATGAGACTGGTGTTTTGGTGTTATCAGTTAAGCCACTGCTTTGGACACCAATTCCATATGGGCACGAATTCAACTGTCTTTTGCTCTGCTTCTGTTCCAACACCCTGCTCACAAACCTGGGAAAGCAGTGGAAGATGACCCAGGTGCTTGGGCTCCTGCACCCACGTGGGAGACCTGGAAGCAGCTCCTGCTGTCTACCTGGCCCAGTTAAGTGAACCAGAAAATGAAAGACCTGTCTGTCACTCCCTCTCTTCCTGTAAGTCCATCTTTCAAAATAAATCTTAAAAATAAAATTAAAAAAGTTTGAGTAAAGCAACTAAGTAAATTTACTAATTTACTAAGTAAATTTACTAATTTTACTAATTTTACTAAATTTACTAATTTACTAAGTAAATTTAATAATATTATAAGACACAAAATCAATATCCAAAACCAATTTTTCTAAGCCAGAAATAATAATTTAAAATTACTCACAGAATAAAAAATTAACAAAATACTCAAAGATAAATTCAACAAAAGACAGATAAAAATCTCAGCACTAAAACCTATAAAATACTGCTGAGAAAAATCAGTACCTAAATAATTTGATCTAAATATATTGTATAGCGTAAGACCTTCAACATTGTTAGGTCAGTTCTTTCCAAAAGAGCTACCGTGAGACTTGGTGCAATGCCATTCAAAACCACGCCAGGCTTTTTTATTAACTGACAAGCTGATTCTAAACTTTGTATAAAGGATATAAAAAGATAAAACTTTAGATTGATTTTAAAACTTATTATAAAATGTTTAGAAGACACCACATGGGAAAGCTTGGTGACTTCTTAAACAGAACAGAGAAAACACAAACAGCAGGAAAAAAAAAATTTATCAATACATTAAGCTTAACACTAACGTCACTCTTTGAAAGGTACTTTTGTCTTTCCAAAATCAACTCAAGTACACTCTCTTCCATTCTCTGCAGCAGCTCTGTAATAACACTCCAATTTCAGAATCATTAGTCAAAATTCACACTTTCTTACATCTTCCTGTAATATTCTCTTGACTCTAAGCACCACTCTTAAACCAGCGACATTAGAAATTAGTTCTGAATATCACCAAACCCTCTTCTTTATAGTGGCTTCTAAGATTCAGTGCTATTAGATAAATTTATCTTTACAGGATTTAATGGTTTTATGTGTAACTAGTTCTGGTAATAACAGTATTCTATCCAGATTCCAGACCTCAAGTGTGAAAAATTCCTTTTATAGTACTCCTATAGAGCAAGGAAAAGGCTTAGCCACTAAATTTAAGTTCTTACTCAGGAATAGTCTGATAAAACAGAACTTGAGACAGGGCTCTCAAAGTCTAAGAGATCAAAAGAATGGAGGACAAACTAAGTCGTGGGGAAGACTGATGTCCAAGCTTGGGCATTCAGCTGACAGGCAAGTAGCCGACGTCCATGGTCTGAGAAACTTCTAGCTAACACAATCAACCCCAGAATCCAGCAGCTGGAATCATGTGAGAACTACAGACTGGGTATGAAGCAGGACACATTATCTGGCTTGGGATAAAGCTCTTAAAAATCAAAGTTTTAAAATCTCCAAATGATTATGCTATGTGCCTGGGGCTGAGAACCACTGAGTTTATGAGAATATACAACCATTTCCTTCATTTCAAACAACTAAAATTACAAATTAATTGGTTAAAACACTTAAAGAATACCTAAGTCAAATATTCACCCTTAAGTTCTTAAATTTTCACATTCTAAACAAGTTTTGGTACTTTTAAGTGGAGAAAAATATGTCACATCATCTATCTGATTAAAACTGGAAGCCAATGGAATGCAATATTTTATTAGGATACAAATTAAGAATATGATATCCCAGAAGCCTAGCAAGCATTATAATTAACTTTTTATTCGTTGAAATCAGTTTTATAAGCTTTGCTGGTTCAGCTCAGAGTTTAATACTATATTCTAACAATTCTCAAAAGAAAAATTACATTGAATAATAATAACATTAAAAACTCCATTAATAAAGTGGTAATTACAGTAGTATAGTGAGATTAAGCAACTCTGAAATAGAATTTTCACTAATATCAAATTTAAAACTCTTCCCATTTGATAACAAACACCCAGAAACAAAACTCAAGCAAGATTAAAACTTAGGGGTTGGACTGTGGCACAGCAGGTGAAGCTAACTATAATGTGAGAAGCCCATATGGGTGTTGATTAGAGTCCTGGCTGCTCCATTTCTAATTCAGCTCCCTGCTATCATGCCAGAGAAAGCAGAAAAGGCCCAAGGGCACACAGGAGACCAGGATGAAGCTTTTGGCTTTGGACTGGCTCATCCCTGGCCATTTTGGAAGTGAACCTCTTTCAATAACTCTGTCTTTCAAATACAGAAATCTTAAAAATAAATAAATAAAACTCAAGAGATGTAGGCTCCAGTTCTATCATTAGCTATCTGTATACTTTTTTTTTTAAGATTTATTATTTTTTTTTATTACAAAGGCAGACATACAAAGAGGAGGAGAGACAGAGAAGATGATCTTCCGTTAGATGATTCACTCCCCAAGTGCTGTGCCAATCCAGAGCCAGGAACCAGGAACCTCCTCCAGGTCCCCCACATGGGTGCAGGGTCTCAAGGCTTTGGGCCATCTTCAACTACTTTCCCAGGCCACAAGCAGAGAGCTGGATGGGAAGTGGAGCTGCTGGGATTACAACCGGCACCCATATGGGATCCTGGTGCGTTCAAGGCAAGGACTTTAGCCACTAGGCCACCACGCCAGGCCCTATCTGTATACTCTTGAGCAAGTTATTTAGTCTTTCTTAAAAAGCAGGAGCATCTTATTATTCATATTTCTGTAAATATAGCTGCACAAGGATACATAAGAGTGCTTTCTAATCTAGGCCTAAAATTCTGATTCCAGCAAAGAAGTATCAAGAAGAACTGCGATACTGTGGATTAATTTTATTAAGAATATTCTTAATTAATTGATTATATTAATTTTATTAAAAACATTATACCTTTACTTTACGTTTCACATATTAAAAGAATCCTGGGACTTGAACCATGGCAAAGCTGATTAAGATGTTGCTTAGGATGCCAGCATTCCATTTAAGAGTACTGGTTCTAGTTCTGGCTACTCCCTGAGAACATGCCTGGGAAAACAAGACAGCACTAGTACTGGGGCTCCTGCCATCCTTGTTAGGAGACATGGATGGAGTTCTTGGCTCCTGACTTCAGCCTAGTTAGTTCTAGCTGTTGATAGCCTTTGGGGGTAGTGAACGAGCCAATGGAAGCACTCTCTCAGACTCTCTTCCTTTCTCTGTCACTCTGTCTTCCAAATAAATAAGTCTTTCCAAAAAAAAAAAAAAAAAAAAAAAATTAACCAGCTATACTGACAAGAATGTGACAGTAAAATAATCATCATCATATCATCATCATCATCTTCCAAAGCATTTCAGAGTCTGGTGACTACAGGTAAGCTATGTAAAAGGACTTTAGTATCTATAGCAACATATCTAATGCTTAATGAGCTTCTAAAAATACTTTCTTTTCTACTTCTACACTTACCTATCACCTTAAAGAATGTTCACGTTTCTTAATGTGTCACTATTTTTACACGAAAACATATTCACCAGTTCCTCCCATCTCTGATAAAAAGCTACAGTGTAATCTTCCATCATACTTAAAGTCAGACTTCTATTTTATTAGCTGATACAATCAAGGAAAAATTAAAAAAAAAAAAAAGAGCAGCTATGGCTTTGGACTTAACCAAAAGTTTGTGGTTAAATTTCCTTCCCCTCTATTTTCCAAGACTCAGTAGTTAATGGGTGAAACTATGCAGAGAGCAGGTCTCACACTATAACATTCACACTCTTTGAGAGTGAAAGTAAAATTCAAGCAACTTACCATTGTTCCAAATGGAATGGCTCTGGAAGCGTGGTAATAAATGGCTATAAAGTTGATGAAGAAGGCAGTGCCACACACCATTGCTGGAATAAGGAACGCGCCAATAAACATCTGCTTAATCCACCTCCTTCCTGAAAAAGAAGGGAAGGTAAAAACCACAGCTACAGAGAAAGTCACATACTGATGTTAAAAATATAACTTTTAAGTATCCAATTAAATTATTTTAATACAGAATATGAAATTTGATATCTTAGTAACTTTCAGATTTGTAACTATGAATTATAAATACAATTTTTGTGTATACTTTTTAATCTCTAAGAATTGCTAAAACTCTACAGTGATCATATATTTTTCAACTGGTATAGTAAAATTTTTTAATCATATCTATATGGATCAGGAGAGCAACAAGGAGCTATCTTTCCATTACAGGAATGTGAACATAAAAGTGTAAATGTGGAAACATTTTTATAGAGCTTAGGAACAAAACACAAAAAATTGCACTTGATGAAGAATAAAATGCAACACAACAATTCTAAGCAGTAGTGACCCAAGGACAAAGTGTTACAGAAAGATGAGCAATATTTTTAACTTTTGTTTTCTCCTAAAAGAACTTCATGCAGTTCATTTTAAACACTGGTCTCATAAATCTTAACCTTCATACAGAAAAACTCCTTGAGTCTAATTTTTTCCTATATTTCACTTCTTTTTTGAGGTATGTCTCAAGAACTAATATTCAGCATCTGAAAAACAATACTAAATGCCTGGAAATTACAGTATTACTCTTAGCTAATTCCAACTCCTTCCTGGCACTTTCTTTTTCTATACTTTCCACTATCTTCTCAAATTCAGATGTGTATACTCTCTCTCTCTCTCTCTCTCTCTCTCACACACACACACACACACACACACACACACACACACACACAGATACTCCTTGTCCAATTAAATTTCTCCTTTTCCTTCTCACATACAGAGTCTATGCACATTCCACTGGGTACTGTCCGTAGCCCAACCACTCCCACTCACTATTATCCTCCTAATGCTCCTCATTCCTTTGTAGATATTGCAGTTCCAGGTAATTTCTGGCTTCAGATTGGTTCTAGAGCATAATTCAGGACACTGAGAATAAAATGATCTTGAACTTCACTGTAGTTCAAATTCCGAAACAACTGGAAAAGTCTCGACTGCCTGTGCTGGTCTCTTCCACCTTAACCCGGTCTTGGAGAACAGTTTACACTATCAGAGCTTGATCAAACCTCCTCAGGGACTATAACTTAGAACACAAGTTTTGGATTAAATTATTACAATTATTAATAGACCCAAAGCTTCGCCTGATTTGACACTGTCAGAGCTAAACACGAACTCTACAAATGTTTCAGCATATATGTGGTAAATGGAAATTTGGTTGGGTGTTTTTAACTTACAACAAGACTAAAAGCAAATCTATACACAAGTTTAAAGAGAGTCATAAGCTATTAGAATTACTAGTGAATTGAGTTTCCACATCAAAATCAAAGTAGTCACCTTAGGAATATTTGTTTCCTCAGGATGCAATGCTACATAATAGGACTCATTTCCCATTTCTGGAGGTAGAATTTAGATTGAACACTAATAGTCAGAAATATATAATGATGTTCTCTTAGGATAATCCAAAGAATTATCTATACTGAAGGTCTGGCAGGAGCAATAAAAAACAATAGTAAACCATAATACCTGAATGAGTTCAAAACAATCCTACACTCTACTTTCTAATACTATAAGGGAGACAAAGAAACTTAAAGACCCCTGAATGACATTACAGAAAGAAAATGCCCAAGCACAGCCCCCTTGGAACATGTATGTATTATCTCTAACACTCCTTGTCCTCTGTTGAAAAGGAGGAAGAGGATTAAGATGAAGTGCTCTTGGCAAGAAATTATGATACAGGTAACAGAAACACTTGCAGTGTCTTTTGATAAACATTTAAGAGTCAACAGAAATAAACAATTTTGTCTCCTTTCCTCCCTCTGCTATCCAAAAATTTTCCCCAGAAGTATTACACACTACTTTATGTTCAGCTGTGAGATTACATGCTGTAGACCATATACAGAGTATATCTATAAGGGGGCAGACACCCTTAAGAGCAATAGTATTAATAATTTAAATGTACTCTCCTACATGTTCCTCAGAGCTAATTTCCAGTGGACAATGGAGATAATCTATTAAAGTAGACACAGTCTTGGGAACAAAATACAAGGATTAAAAGTAACAGTACATAACCGATTTGGTGGAGATTATGTGAAATGAAAACAAAGAATTCTACCATGGCTATACTATCCACTCTAAATTCTAAGTACCTCACTGTAAAATATAGCACCTGTCAGGAAAATGCAGTGATAATTTCTAACTTACCTCCTTGTCTAGCATACAGACTTCCACCAAAATAACCATTCACTGGAGATGTAGCAGCATAGACAAATATGGCTGTACTGAGCATTGATCCCCTCCTAAAAAGGCCACACACACAATAAATTGAAAGCAAAGGTTTAAAGAGCACATCATACAGATGTCACATTCACACTAGTTTAATTTCAAGGATAAATTTAATAGAAACACACACAAAAATCACATTCTAAACAATAAAGGACCTCAAAAGATTCTCTAACTAAAACTATACTTAGATGACATAAGGCTGATTTTAATTTTCTAATAGGTAGTTAAATTTCATAATATATTCTTAACATGAATTCCACATTTCTTTGGTAAAAATATTAGGAGCTGATGCTAAAACTGTTTACACACCCCTGTAAATTGATCCCACCACATGAAAAAAGATAACCACTTAGTTAGAAAAAGTAATTAGAACATTCCCTTGCTTTAAAAAATTTTTGTTTTAAAAATTTTAATATGAAGAGAACAGATTTCATGTGGCTCACAGATACAACTAAGAATATGATACATCTTCCCTCCCTTTTACTTTCTTCCTGTTTTTCCTTTTAATTTTTATGATAATACTTTTAATTTGCTTTTTCATCACAGGCATAATCCTCCAAAATATTCCTTTTCATAACGGGATTCAACTGCTTAAGATTTTTACCAGCTAAAAGAATTAAAGTAGGATCGCTTACATAAAATGCTATTATTTTCAATGGTATAACACTTCTCTGCTCCAACAACTATACTCATTTTCTCTTAACATGGGTGCATAACAGTAAAAACATGGTAGTATTTCACTTCTTCAGATAACTAACCACAAACAATACAAGTAGTAGTCATTTCTATGTTTAAAACACCACAAATCTCAAAGTTAACAGTCTGAACATCCTAACTGGTTTTCCCAAGAGCACAATTAATAACGCTTTCTATAGAGTCTTTCAGTTTTGAAGGCAATGTTAACTAATAACTTAATAATCCCCAAATTCTTATACTTCTTATGAATAATCTAACTGGATTTTCAAAATCATTAAAAAAAAAAAGGCTAGGGCTGGCATGATGGCTCAACTGGCTAAGCTTCTGCCTAAAAGCACCAGCATCCCAGCTGCTCCACTTCTGACCTATCACTATCAGCTCTCTGCTTGTGGCCTGGGAAAGCAGTGGAGGATGGACCAAAGTCTTGGGACCCTGCACCGGTGTGGGAAACTTAGAAGAGGTTCCTGGCTCCTGGGTTTGGATTGACTTAGCTCGGGCCAATGCAGCCATTTGGGGAGTGAACCAATGAATGGAAGATCTGTCTCTTGGGAAAAAAAAAGGAAAAAGTTTTTAAACTCCTCAATAGTCCTGGATAAAAAAATAATCTTTACTAATTTTGCTAATGGAATACAACATTTATAACCAACCAAAATGTTCACGGATGCTCATAAGCTTTATCATGTTACAGAAAAGGACACTTTTAGCTAAAAAGATTACTGCTCATTACTTAATTTGTCTGCAATAATTAAATGTATTGCATTAAAATTCCAAGATAATTGAAATAACCAAATATTTGTGACTGGTTAAATGGTTCCAATAATTTAAACCACTCAAGAACAAAATAGCAATAAAGTATAAGCACTTACTCTGTGTATAAATCTTCTATCATTGCAACAATAATAACAATGAGAGATACAGCAAATATTTGACATCCAGAACCAATGAGAGAGGAAAATATCAGTGGGTGACTTGAGGGTCTAAAAACATCTCCATGCACCTGTTTCCATCCATATTCATCTCCTAAGTCTCTATCCTGCATATAAATGCATAGGTGTAAGAAAACAATTTAGAACCAAATGACATACAGCAGATAGGTTAAGTTACCGTCCCCCAAATAAACTACCCTCCTCCAAATATACGGCTACTTAAAGAGGTTCAAAACACTGAGAAAATAAATACCCAATTTGAAACCATTACTGTCTTCTAAACTGATGTTAATGTTGAGGTTCAGGAAGGTAACTCCTGGGTGTGATCAGAGAATCTCCAACAATGAAAAAACCAAAGGTCTGGAGGCCAAAGGTCACTGAGGCCAGCAATGAGATGCATCAGTTTAGGCTGCTACCCGTGATGCTGGCATTTGTATCAAGAGCACTGGCTGAGTCCTGACTGCTCTTCTTTTGATACAGCTCCATGCTAATGTACCTGGGAAAGCAGCAGCAGATGCCCAAGTGCCTGAGCACCTGCCACCCCTCTAGGGAACCCAGAATTCCAGGCTCTTAGCTTAGGCCATAGCCAGTCCTTGCCATTCTGGCCATTTGGGAAGTGAATCAAAGACTAGATCTTTTTCTGTCACTCTGCCTTTCAAATAAACAATAATAAACCTGTGTATTTTAAGAAAAGGTTAAATTGACTAAAAGTATACTATCACTACTTTCACACACTATTCTTACCAGCCTTATCAAGACTGTGTCCTAACTAAAAACTGGGGCCAGAGGGAAGGGAAAAGAAAAGTATCAAAACAGTATATGCCCTAAAAAATGTCTAGACTAGAATGTAAGAAAACTCAGGGAAATATCAAATACCAATGCCTCAATTTAATTCCATATAGCATTTTCTTAATAATTTTTACTTTTCAACCCCAATAAGCACCATTTTAAAAACAAAATTTCCTAAGGAACAGCAAACCTAAGGAAATTTCTTTGGCGGGGAAAGGAATCTGATCAAATTTGTTTGAGATGGACCAAAAACCCTTTGATTCTTCACAATGTAATTTAGCATTTTAACACTCAAATTTTGTAATTACTTCCCAAATTTATTTAATAAGGGGCATACCTACTTAGAATACACTGCTAACTCTATTGAACATTTTTTCTGTTCTATACTTTAAACAAAAAAAAAATTAAGACAAACTTTTTCTCTGAACCCACTAAATTAAATGTCAACTAATTCTTTACCCACTCCTAGAATTGTATGCACTAACTGACAAACATAAAAAGAGATCAAGACTAACCCCAATCTCTGAAAACTCAAAAGCTCATTTTGTAAGCCTGATCATCCTTACCTGGGGGCAAGATCTGGTTTCAACTAGAAGACTTGATTTACACTATTTATTGATTACACACTGGGTGAATATTCACATGTTTTACTAGAAAACATTAATGTATCCGATTACAGGGCAGTCTCAGACTCCATGGAGGGTTTTATACCATTCTAAAATCTGAAAATTCTGAATCCTGAAAATGCATCTGGCCTCAAAAATATCAGACAAACAAGTATGATTTCTAATCCAATGTTCAAAATAATGCTGAATTTACTGCTTTTATAAACAGAACCAAAATGTTCACTCACCATGTCATCCATTTCTTCTTCTTTACTGTATCGGGCATAATCTTTTCTCAAAGTTCTCATTAAAATCATGGAAACTAGGCCTACCAAGAAGATCACCATCATGAAGGAATTGAAAATGGAAAACCAATGAATCTAAAACAAAACAAAATGTTATCAACATGTATGACATTCACAGGCTTCATGATGACACACATTAACATTTTTAAAAATGGCTTTCCAAAACCTTTTTTTTACGTAAAAATTCAAACTTAAGACACTGGGTATGAGTTGTAGCTATTCCAAGGCACTTACTTTTTAAAAAAATTATAAAAAAATTATTTCCTCAGTGAAAAAGAAAGAGAAGGAGGGAGACAAAGAGAGATCTTCCACGTCTGGTTCATTCCCCAAATGGCCACAACAGCCAGCGCTGGGCCAGGCAGAAGCCGTAGTCTGGACCTCCATCTGTGCTCTCCCATGTCATGGATGTCATGGACTTAAGCACTGGGGCCATTTTCTTCTGACTTTCCAGGCACATAAAGCAAGGAGCTTCAGGTCAGCAAGGTGACATAGTAAGATAATCCTCTACCTTGTGGCACTGGCATTCCAAATGGGCACTGGTTCATGTCTCGGCTACTCTACTCTTGACCTAGCTCTCTGCTTTTGGCCTGGGAAAACAGCTGAGGATGGCCCAAGTCTTTGGAACCCTGCATCCATACGGGAGATCCAGAGGAAGCTTCTGGCAGCTTTGAATTAGCTCAGTTCTGATTATTGCAGCCATTTGCGGAATGAACCCAGTGGATGGAAGACTTTATTTCTCTTCTCTATGTAAAATCTGCTTATGGCCTGGGAAAGCAGCAGAGGAATGCCCAAATACATGGTACCATGCACCGATGTGAAGACCAGAATTAGCTCAGCCGCAGCCGGTGTGGTCATCTGGGGAGTAAGTAAATCAGTAGAAGAAAGATCAAAGATCAGTTTCCCTGTCTCTCCCTCTCTGTAATTCTTTTAAGCTAAATAAATAAATCTTCAAACAAAAACAAAAAACCCTGCAGAATCAACTCTTTTCCTGCTTTTCCTGACTATCTCATAGATAATAATTATCAAGCTTTTATTTCTTTCAAAGGTGCTTCTTCTATCACCTCCTCTCTAGTCCCACACCATCCTCTCACATCTCAACAGCTGTAAGGGCTTCCTAGTTGGCCATTTTGTGTTTTGCTTTTTTGTTCCTTGCCTTTCTTCCTATACCTATACTCTAAAAAATTATCAAGATCTTTCTTAAACAATATATTCACATATCACTCCTCTGCAATAGGTTACAGTGACACATATTCTTTCTTTCATATCAAATCCTGGGGTAGGCATTTGGCCCACTCTGCATCGCACAGTGGAATGCTTGGATTTGAGCCCTGGCTCCACTCTTGACTCCAGCTTCCTGCTAACACACATTCTGGATGTCAGTGATGATGGCTCAAGTGCTTGGATCCCTGCCACCCCTACTGGTGACTTGGATTGAACTCCCAACTTTGGGCTTCATCCTGGCCCAACCAGAGAAATTGCAGAATGTGAAGAGTGAGCCAAGTATGTGGGCATGTTTTCTCCTTCATGTGCATTGGTTAATGTGCATGTGTGCATATCTGCCTTTCAAATAAATACGAATTAAAGCATTTTCAAAGCTTAATTTTTCCTAATATCTTCTTATATTCCCTGAAACAGGGCTATCTTACCTTATATAAGCAAACATTCATCACGTTATAGTCTATATTCCAGTCAGCCTAGCCCTCCTCAATGATCAACATGTACAGCATACTCACTTCCATCTCTATTTTCTCATCATTTCTTCTCTCACAGGATGTGCTTTTCTCTGCTTTATAAATGCTAACTAGTCTAAATTCCAACTCAAGCATCTTCTCCTCATAAAAGCATCACAGGGACATGACTGCTTCTCAGGCCTCTTCCTGCTCTAACTTTCCATACATACATACACAGAAAACTGAACGTGTGGACAAACTACCCAGCTCATGGAATCAGGATAGATTTGGGCTAATAAACTGCAGTGAGGGCCGGGCAGAAGGGCAACCCGGACTCTGTTACCCATCTTGTTGCATCAGGGATAAACAACTCCTGAAAGCAGGAGAAAGCCAATGCCTCCTCCTAAGTTTATTTTTTCTCTCAATAATTGATTCATTAAGCACCCTTTGAAATAGAGAAAACAATGAATACATTATTCTTTGATATGTTCACCCCCAAAAGGTTGTAAAGATAATCATAAAAGTGTCAGATTTATAAAGGGAGTGAATAATGATAGGCTCTTCAAATATTTAACTTTGTTCCTACCCTAGGAAATCAATAATCCAGAAAAGGTCAAGAGGAGAAAAAACATGACTCACATTATCAGTAAATTCATCAAACTGTTAGAGACAACAGAAGTTTTCAATAGTTACCACGCTGTAGTTTAAGAGATCTACCACTAAAGGTAACATTTGCAATAAGGCACTCTTCTATTTTCTATTTTAGAAACAAACTTTAAAGTAATACCTATCAGAATGTACCACCTATCGTTTTATAATAGTCTTTTGCTCTAATATTATGAAATGTATGATTTAAAAATGATTGTATCAGACAGCATTTCTTAAAAATAATTGGAACAATACAAGAGAAGATTAGTATGGCTCCTACACAAGGAAAACAGGCAAATTTGTGAAGGGGTCCATATTAAAAAAAAAAAAGTAAATCTTGTATTACAAAGGATTACTAAACCTACTAACTGCTGCACTCCAGCACCCCCTAGTGTTGTTAATTCTAAAGCAGCACCCTCAATTTGGCATGAATTAGACACAACTGGAGATAATAATCACACCAACAGCGTTCTCTCTTACTGAGTACCTGCTATATGCAAAACACCAAACTAGGTGCATCACATCATATGTTATCAAATGAAATTTCTCCACAACCCTGCAAGATATTAAAGTCCTTGCTTTATTACCAAGGAAAGAGAGCTGAAGAGCTGACTCATTCAGGTTAGGCAAGTGGCAGAGCCAGAGCCTGAATCTGGTTCAGCTCCTATGCTATTTTCAATCAATACTAGAAATAGTTCCTATACTGAACACAGTAAATTCCATTCCCTCTTACCTATGTAATGAAAGCACCACTTAGTTCTCCCCTTTCACTGGCAATGTCAGTTTAGCACTCTCCACTGAATCCTACCAGCATATTTACTTTTTTTCTTAAATCAATCTTAACAAAAAAATCCTGTCTCCAACCTCCCTGACAGCTACTGCGCTACTTTTTGCTCCATTTAGCAGCCCATCTCCTCACCAGTGTATACACGCCATCTCCAATTCCTGACCTGTCAATCTATTTCACATTTACAATTGCCCTGCAATTACACCAAAACTGCTCTTCTTCAAGCCCACCAATGACTCAGATGAATACAATAGCTGCTTTTTAGTACTCATCTTACTTGACCCATCAGTAAGAAATTCACAATCCCTCTTTCCTCTACAATATACTACCTTCTCTGCATGGCTTCCAGGGCATCTGACAACTCCTATTTTTTTTTTTTTTTCCTATTCTCCCTAAACTCTTCATACTGTCCCAGGGCTTGCGTTGGTATTCATTCAATCTCATGGAGCTTACAATAATATCTGTATATAAATTACTGGAAAACCTGTATCTGTAGCCCAGACCTCTGTCCTTAAACACTGACACAGCCAACTCGCTGCTATCTCCATTTGGCTATCTTTCAGACATCTTAAAACGAACATGTCACAATTTCAAAATATAGTCCCTATACACCAACTCCGTTCTAACAGCTGCTCAGAATGAAAACCCTGCAGCTCATTACAACCTTTCTCTTTCTAGCAATTAGGAGATGCTGCTGGCTTTACCTTCCCAATATACTAACAGTCTAACATTTTCACTCCCTCCATGCCGTGAGCCAGCTTAACTTCTTACTTTTTACTCTATCTCTTCCTCTGGTCTCCCAGCCACAATCCTGACCCCACAGATCTTACTCCCAACATGATAATCTAAATGAGAACCTTTTATCAGATATGGCAGATTTACCTCCCCTTGTGTCCTTTACATTCCAGAGTAAAATAAAAAGTCCGTACAAGAGCAAGGGATGATTTGGTTCCTGCTACTTTTCTGACTTCATCATCTTGCTCATCCTCAACCAAAAAGGGCCCACTTCAATAGGTACACTCTTCAGGCCTGGCACGGTAGCCTAGCAGCTAAAGTCCTCACTTTGCACAAGCTGGGATCCCATATGGGTGCTAATTCTAATCCCAGGAGCCCTACTTCCCATCCAGCTCTCTGCTTGTGGCCTGAGAAAGCAGCTGAGGATGGGCCAAAGCCTCGGGGCCCTGCACCTGTGTGGGAGACCCAGAAGAGGCTCCTGGCTCCTGGCTCCTGGCTCCAGCAGTTGCATCTACTTGAGGAGGGAATCAACGGACAGAAGATTTTCCTCTCTGTCTCTCCTCCTCTCTATATACCTGACTTTTCAATAAAATTAAATAAATCTTCTAAAAAAGAGAGAGGAATATCTCCACTCAAGATATTCACATCCATCCCTAACTTCCTTCAGTTCCTTAAAGCTTCTGCAAAAATTTCAAAGGAAATAACTAGGATGCCAGACTTTAAGTTTACAAGGGCAGTGCCCACATACGGAAGTCCAGTGCTGTCCAACTGTCCAGTGCTGTCTATTTTAGATCTGAGTTCTAGTAGTAAGAAGCCCATTTAACCATGGATATGGGCTAGTCTCCCATAATCACATTCCTAGAAGTCTAACATTTTGGCTTCTGAAAGTTTTGGACTACTCCTCTGAAACTCCTTATCTCCCTGTGACTCCCAGGTCACACCCCCCAGCCACCATTAGCTAAGACTTAAAAACCAATCTTCATTCAGCACAGTGCCTTGCATATATATTGCAGATACTAGTGCAAACATTCAATGTCTCAAACTATTCACCTACCCTGTGTTGAAAAAAGGATGGATCAAGATATTTGTCAAATCGATCTTCAAATTTTACATCAGATTTTTTCCATTTTACCTGAAAAAAAAATTTTTCCAGTTGAAAATCAAAGCCAGTAAACAGAGTAAACAAGTTAAAATTTGATGACAAAACTTAAGCAAAATTTCAAGATTTATAAGCTTAGAATTAAAAACAGTGGAAAAAAAATTTTTGTTTTAATAACCAAATTTCTTAATGTTAATAAAGCTTAACAACTTACAAATCATTTCAGTTTCAAAGGACTGTATACTATTGATGATTTGTATACTCTGACCTGCAAAATGTAAGAACTGACATATCTTAAGTGTCTAAACTAATTAAGAATTTACTAGATTGCATTATCTTTATTACTACTATCAAATTCCTTCATAAGTTGTTACATAAATACTGTTTGTACTCAGTATATGTGCATGAAATTTGAAAAAAAAAAACTACTACTGTCTACCAGTAATGGACTACTAGTACTTATCTACTTCTAACAGATTCACCCCAGTTACAGGAAAAATCAGCATACAGTGACTATTAGATTTCTCCTTCTACTTTCCACTTTCAAGCCTAGTAGAACAGAATCAGCTTGACAGTCGCTAAAGGGCTCTAACAACCTCTCCTCTATAAACTTTATTATCACAAATGATAAAGCAAACCACAGTAAACAATGACTATCAAGAAATTTTTAATAAAACATCACCTCTATTCCCAATAACAAAAATGGAAAGAAAAACAATGCGATGTACTGAAATTAAAAAAAAAAAAACTACGAAAGGCATGCTTTCTTAGTTTAACTGCAAATTGCAATAGCAAACTGTATCGTACCAACTGGCAGGTCTTGCAACTGCTTAATTGGTATCTAATGACCAATTAGAGGTGAAATAAATCTACTCCCTACTACTAAGGTTTACCAGATACACTAAGAAAATACAGTTCTAGGAGTATTTTGCTACATCACATTTCAAGCTGCATTTTCATTTACCCAAGCTTGAAAACATACTTAATTGTTGATACTAAATCACAAACACTTATTCTTGTACACAACTATTTTAATGCTTACTGAATAAGACATCTGGATTTTAGTATTTGGAACCAGTTTTACTTTTCCTTCACTGGTTAGATTAACATCAACAATTCGATTTCCATTAAAACCTATTTCAAGTTTTTTGTAGGTCCAAAGATAGTAATCTTCTCCATTTTCATCTGCTTCACCAACAATACCTACAAAAGAAAATCCCACATACAAAGTAAGCTTAGCATTAAAAAAAAAAAAATCCTAAAAGAAAAAAGTACATTGAAATGTCTTTGTAAATAAAAGCAGTTATCATCACTATTCCTTACAGGTGGAACAAGGCAAAGTACAGGCAAGACTTCGTTAACTACTTAGCAAACACAAACTATAGCTATTCCACATCGAAAAAGTGAAAAGTTCAGCATGAGATATTACTAATTTAAGCCTTAAAGTTCATTAGTTTCACCTTCATTGTAACAATTATCACCTTAAATGCACACTCTCTTTAGCACCAAAATTTCAGAGACATTCTAGATCACCTTTTCGAAGTTCACTTTACTACTAGTTATCAAAGGACAATGAAAACAAGGGTTCTGTAACTTATAATCAATTCCAAGGAAGATCAGGAAGATCCATATATATGGATTCAAAACCAAAATGCCTCAAGTTCTGTACCTGTCCCTGGAAGTCATCAAAGTAGTGAAGGAAAAGCTTCAAAACTGTAAAGACAGGCAAATTATAGTTGAGGTGCTATCTCTTTTTAATTAAATTATTTTTAATTGATTTGTTCTTATCCAAAGACAGATTTTACAGAGAGGGGGGAGATACTGGTTCACTCCCCAAACAGCCACAACAGCCAGAGATGAGCTAATCCAAAGCTGGGAGCCAGGAACTTGTTCCAGGTCTTCTACATGGGTGCAGGGGCTCCACTGCTTCCCCAAGCCATAAGCAGACAGCTGGATCAGAAGCAGAACATCTGGGACACGAACTAGAGCCCATATGAGATGTTGGCATTACAGGTGAAAGATTAGCCTGCAATACCCCTGCACTGTGACCCAAGGGGTCATTTCTTGTCCTCTTACTGTCAGCAGTGTTCACCACCCAATCCAATATACTGCCTAGGTGTCGGAAGTGCTGTAAGGTCCTCCCTCCACGGTCAATGCATCCTATTAAAATGTTAGGAAATTTTTTTCCCCTAAGATTTATTTATTTTATTGGAAAGTTAGATTTAGAGGAGAGACAGAGAAACATCTTCCATCCACTGGTTCACTCCCTAAGTGGCCACAACATCCAGAGTTGAGCTGATCTGAAGCCAGGAGCCAGGAGCTTTTTTCGGGTCTCCACCGTGGGTGCAGGATCCCAAGGCTTTGGCCCATCATCTACTGCTTTCCCAGGCCACAAGCAGGGAGCTGGATGGGAAGTGGAGCAGCCAGAATACAAACTGGCATCCATACGGGATCCTGGCACACACAAGGTGAGGACTTCAGCCACTAGGTTACCACACCAGGCCCAAGATCATTTCTTATTATTATTCATTTACTGACCAAAGTGATTTTGATACAAAATGAGGAAGTATAGATTTGCTTTGTTTGGGATTGTATATAGAAAATCAAATTCTATCTCCCTACTGGGTTGTAGCTCCCACTGGTGAGCACCAGAGTCAGGGCAGGATATGGGCCAGAGGGGACAAGGCCAGGCCAAATCTTAGCACACTGGTATGCACAGAAGCCAGGATGGTTTGTGGACCATTTGTGCTAGGTTATTATATCCACCGGTTTGCATAAGAGTCAGGGATGGTGGGCAGGTTATGCAGGACTAGGCAGCAGCACCCACCAGGCAGAATTGGGGCTGATGTACAGAGTTGGAGGGGGTAGGACATGTCAAGTTGGGAGAAGAGGCCTAAGGGACCTCCCCTGCTGGGCTGTGGTTGCCACTGATGAGTGTCAGGGCCAGAAATGGGGGCAGACCAAGCTGAGCATGGTTATAACATCTATTGGCATATGTTTGGGCTTGATCTGGGGCATGCCAGACTGGGCTAGGCTCCAGAACCCACTGGCATTCACAAGAGCCAGACTAGGTGTGAGATGGGCTGAGCTAGGTTGTGGCACCCACTGTTTCACAGGAGAGCCGGGTCTAGGGTTGGGCATACATGTGGGTCAGGTCTGAGAGCCTGGTTGGGCCAGTGTGCAACACCAGGTGGTGGGTGCAAGTCAGGGCAAGGTACAAGTCAGGCCAGGTTCACATTAGGGGCAGGACTAGGGGCTGACAGGCTGGACTAGGCTGCAGCACTCTGCAGCATGAGCTGGAACTGGGGGGCAGATTAGGCTGAACTAAGCTGTAGCACCTATTGGCAAATGCCGAGGTGAGATGGGCCATTCCAGACTGGGCTGCAGCACCCGACACATGCAAGACACCAAGTCAGGAGCAAACCTGGTGGGGGATATTGCAAGAACTCCTCTGCTAGGCCACTGCTACCACTGGTGAGCATGAGAGTTGGGACTAGGAGCCGACCAGGCTGGGCAGGGCTGCAACAATTGTTGGCCTGTATGATAGCTTGCTTTGGGGGAGGACTGAGCCAAGCCAGGCCACTGCATCCACTGGTGCATGCAAGGACAGGGATAAGTGCTGACTGGCTAGGCTTTGCAGCAGCATAAGCTAACAAGTGTCAGGACTGGGTACAAGTTATGTCAGACTGGACCACAGCACTCCCTGTAAAGTACAGAATCTGGGGTGCAGACTGGGTCTAGTAGGGAAACTGTGGACACTCTTCTGTAGGGTTGCAGCTACCACTGGTGTGCATGAGAGCCAGGCTGAGGGCAGGCCTGGCTGGACAAGGTGACAACACCTATCAGCATATGCATGGACTGGTTTATGTAGTAGGGTAGACTGAACTAAGATGCAGCACTCATAGGTTTATACAAGAACCCAAATAGGATGCAACAAAGAACCCGACTAGCCTGGCATGTGCAGGAACTAGGGATGGAGTTGGGTGTCAGGCTTGAAGAGAGCCAGGAGGCTACTAGGGGTTGCCCCAACTAGGCTGCAGTTCCCACTCGTGTGAACAAAGGCCAGGTCTGTGGCTTGCTGGGCTGAGCTGGGCCACATTGCAGCATCTGTCAGTTTGCATGGAACATGGGGCCGGGGACAGAACCTACCAGGTAACTGGGGCTGGGGACAGAATCACTAGCATGTGCATAGACCTATACAGGTGATGGACTGAACTAGACCTGGTACTGGCTGGCACATTCAAGAGTCAGGTCTGGGATCACACCAGGTGAGGTTTCTTATGGGACTCCCCAGTTGGATTATTTGGACTCAAAACTCTACCCACAGGGAGAAACACAGGATTTGTAGTCTGATTTTAGAATGCATGTATTGGGACTAGGCCTCCTTCATTGCTAATGCCAATACAACAGATGGCATGCCAAAGTGCATAAGGGGAACATAATAGCCAGCTCATGTGGCCTACAGAGGATGTCAAGTGACATGCAACAAGATGAACAGAACAGGCTGGACTGCTCTCTTGGCCAAGACATTAGGCAGCAAATGTCTGTGTGAGTGGATGCACTGGGGTGGACTCTGTCAACCAATGAGCCTTGGAAGGATTTTCTCAACCTTGGAGCAGAGAAACCAACAGTATCTTGGAACTTTCAAAACTACTTAAAGGGCCTGGCGCGGTGGCGCAGTGGTTAAAGTCCTGGCCTTGCACGCCCGGGGTTCCCATATGGGCGCCGGTTCTAATCCCGGCAGCCCCGCTTCCCATTCAGCTCCCTGCTTGTGGCCTGGGAGAGCAGTCAAGGATGGCCCAAAGCTTTGGGACCCTGCACCCGCGTGGGAGACCCAGAAGAGGCTCCTGGCTTCGGATCGGCATAGCATCGGCCGTTGTGCTCACTTGGGGAGTGAATCATGGGACGGAAGATCTTCCTCTCTGTCTCTCCTCTCTGTATATCCGCCTTTCCAATTAAAAAAATTTAAAAAAAAAAGTTTCCTTTAAAAAAAAAAACTACTTAAAGCATCACCCTTGGAACATTCTTCTCCATATTGGGGGTTTAAAAGATTACATCAAGTAGACAGTCCCCATCCCTGGGTACTGGGGTACTGAAGTAGTTTGCCAACTGGGAGCAGCTACCTTCACCTCCCTCACTTCCCTCCAACCACCCACCCCACTTTCCTCCAACCACCCACAGATACAGGAGAAAAGAGAAGAAAAAAACTGGAAGCATTTGTCCCACTCACCCAAACCACGACCCTCCCCCACCTATTCAGTGGTCTTCACGGATCTGCATTCTTATCAACTATGTAAACATCAAAAAAAAATTTAATTTAAAAATATAAAATAAAATTCCTCTAATAATTAATTTGATTAGTTTATATTTGTATATCTACTTTAAAAGCCAGATTTTGGAAGTAAAGACATAATTATACCTAATAAAAGGATAATCTCAGGGAGGCTTTTGAAAAATCAACTATAAAACTTTTATCCCAACAAAAAAATCATATAAAAACTTTTTCTTTCCATACAAGGACTCTGCAAGGGTCCAGACATTATAAGATCTCCAAAAATATCTCCCCCAAATGGTAGATCCTAGAATTCCAGGGTTAAAAGATATTGTCTCATATTTTAAGACAAACAAAACAATCTTATAATCTTTAAACATACAGAAATCATTAACTACAAATATACAAGAGCAGATGTCCAGAGGTAAAAAACAAGATAAAAAGAAAAATCACTAAGACAAAAATGAGAATAAACACGCTGGCTATATCAGGCCATGTTTGCATTTTAAATAATATGTTCAAGCCAAACATAACTGACTTCTTATTATGCTAATCTTTATTAACTATGCCATTGCTCCTCTTCATTACCATTGATGAGTAAGAGATAAAACAAAAATATTTTAAATATTAAGGAGCTTTAGAAAACAACAGGAACAATCAAAAGAAAGTCATTTGAAAAATAATCACATTCCATATTACCACAGCACCACATGACAGAAAGGCTAAATTATATTTCAAAATCTTAGTCCCTATAATCATGGTTTAAAAAAAGAAAAAGGTAAAATAAAACAAAAAGAGGCCACAGGATATTTCAGACTGTTTCAAGTACTTCAGATTCTTTGAGTCTGAGAAGTTATATTTGTGAAAGTTTCATGTAAGGCTTGGTAATGTCAAAAATCACTAATGACAGAAGACCATAAAATTGGTACCACAGTGATTCTGTTGAAGATTCTGAAAACAGTTATATCACGACCCATCACCTTAACAGAGTGATTATACAAATCTTAAGTTACAAACATTCTCAAACTTCAAATATAACATCTAATACTTACCCCATATCGGTAAGTCATCTATGTACATCTGGTACCAGTAGTGATTTTTGATGGCATACACAAATGCATCTCTCTTTTCTTTATCTAAGTCAATTTCACAGTAAGTGGCTGGCATCACATCATCTATATAAATTAAAAAGTACAAATTAGCTCAATGACTTGCAAACTAATTAAAGATTTTTTAAAAAGCCAACATTTCCTTAAGATTCTATATATAACAGTTGAATCTATTCTATCCATGATATGTCTTTTAAAATGTTTTTATAATCAAAGGTTCTTCATCATTTTTATTTTCAGACATTATCTTACCAAGTAAAGAAGTTCTACCTTATACAGAGAAAATTACACAAAAACATTTACAAAGGAACTTTAAAATGGATAAACTGGTTTAACAAATAAATCTAAAATGCAACACTATAAATTCCCAGAAAGTCTCTAAGATGAGTCATTTCTACTCTTGATTGCTTTCAAAGTTACTATATCATAATTCCATACAGATGGCTTGTAGCTTACAAACCCAGTGTTTCGAAATGCTTCTACTTTTAAAAATCTGAATATCAATCAAAAGATTAAGCTGTTTTATCATTTGAACATTAAAAAATTAATATCAATCTTAAGGAACAAAAGATAGCCCAGTCTTGTTTTCGCATTTTTGGTACAATAAAAATAGCTATTCTGAAATGCAGTTTTCCAAAAAAACAACGAAAATCCTATTAAATTCTGATTAAAATTTTAAACATAAATTATAGCTAAGTCGTGAATGTAACAGCCATCTATATTCTGTAAGAAATACAAATCTGAGTCAAAATGAAGACATCCAGCAACATTGTACACCCCAACCCTCAGTAAAGAGCTTCCCTTGATCAAGATCAGGCCCAAGAGGGTAACCCAAACCCCCACTGAAAAAGATGGCAGTAATACTACTCTTGCCCTCAGTGTGCGGGAAGAAAATTGCTTTTTCTGCAACAAAGACATGCACACAGATTTTCTTTCTACTCAGAAAGCAATTTTAGGTTCTCGTAAAACTGAGATTGAGCAATGAAACAGAAGATTAGGAAATAAGACAGCTAAAGTGAGTTCCTAAAGCAGGAATAGGGAGAACTGGCAACACAGGGCCCCATATTTCTATGGAGTGTGATCATGGGTAAAACAGCAGCAAGCAACTACAGGTATAGAGTGGACAGCCAGAATCAAAGAATGGTTCAGACTTTAAGGGCAACAAATGGCTACAGCGGCTGTGGGAAGCCTCACAGTTCCCTCTGCAAAGCCACTGAAGTTTTCACTGTTTGTTACAGACATCTGTTGGTGATGGTCATTAACACTTTGGTGGTTTTACATAAAAAGTTCTGAAATACACAACATGACACCACTCCAAAGTGTTTAAAAGACTCCTCAGTCTGAACTTCAGTTTTGTCATCCAAGTAACCAATTATCCCATCATCTTTGCTATTCTTCTCCAACCTCACCTACTTGAAATTTCCACAAACATCATGTTCCTTTGAATTCTGGACTTTTGTGTTCATGTTGTAAACTACACCTCAAATGCCCATCCTAGAATCTTGTCCCCCAAAACACCCACTTCCTCTATAGACTTCACGGTCTGATATCCCACACCTTTCACATCCCATAGCCCGTCCTTTTCTCTGAAGCTCCATGGTTTTTTCTGCCTGTGGTAATTATGATGCAGAGCTCTATACAAACTTTTTACCTCGTGGGCACAAGTTACTGTCTTAAAAACACCTTTAGGTGCCAAGAGCTACACCCAGAACTACTTTTTATCCCCAGCTGTGTCTGCTTTAGTGTCCTCTGCAGAGTAGCAATACTTTAAGAATGTTGATTTTTCATTTATTTGACAAAGTGAATTACAAGGTATACCAGAATATGCATCTGTGTATGAATGGGCAGCTTCATATATCTGAACAGGAGAAAAGCCAATCCAAACAAATTAAAGTTTTAAACAGCCTTTCAGAAAAAAAAAAAAAAAAAACGGCAAGCAGGATGAAAGCCTATCATGGTAGGCTACAAAACAGACATGGTTCATCATATTTCAGTGAAATTCATTTTCAGACAAGTAGAAAAATACAACTATCACATAGCTGAAGACCCAGAACTTCTCTCAGAAAGAGGCCAATTTTAAGAAAGCTAAAGTAATATGGATGGATTTGCCAAATCATTACTCGGTAGTCAAACTGGAATACCTATCACTATAAACCACCGCTTCAAAATTATAATCAGGTATTACTTTCTCAGGATACACACTTGAGAATTCTGAACAAGACACCAGTAAGATTTTACTGATGTACAACTTAAAACCAAAACAAAACCAGAGTTTGGGAGACAGTCTTTTTATTTGAGAGGCAGAGAACAGAGGGCTCTCACCCACCAGTTCACTCACCAAATGCTTGCAGCAGCCAGGGATAGGCCAGGATAAAATATTTCAATATGGGATACAGGGATCCCAAATAGCACCTTAACTGTCAGGGCAAAACACTGTCCATTTTAATATTTTTAATGGGAGGAAAAAAAACCCAAGATATAAAATGGTAAGTGCTAACAATTTTTCAAGTAAAAAGGAAAATTAAATTCTGCAAATCACATATCAATACATCTATCATGAAAAGTCCAGATTAATGACTAAAGAAGCAGTCACAGCATACCACAATTATTCATGGGTTCTCTAAGAACACAAGACGTGACCCTTTGCTGCCTTCTGATAACACAATCAAAAAATTAGATAAACACTACCTTAAATTTGGCAGAACTTGGTAAGACTGCCCTACAGTCAAGTTTACAGAGCAGAAACATGAGCTGTAGTTTGAGCTTCCCTACTTACTAGGTATGGGAATAAAAGGAAGTCATTTATTCTCAACTGTGAAGGAGACAACATCTGTACTTCCTCTGTCCTAGAACTGCTTTAAGAACTGAATATTCTCTATCTTCAAAGGCAGAATTCTTGAGTCTCCTTGGGCCTCACACCCTTTTGAGAATTCAATAAAAATGTCTTCCTTGTCCTGGAAAAATGCACTTTCACATAAAATTAAGTGCACCATTTCAGAAGGCCCATTGAAAAAGGAACCTTGAGGCCTGCAGCACATAGAGCTCCTGATTAAACTCTTTGCACCCAGAGTTACCACAGTGCTAGAGGGCAGTAAAGCACACCATTAACAGTCAAATGAATTAAAGGAATGTGTTGACTGGAAAAGTTGGTGTATCACAGTAAATTAAGTAACCACATAAAGGGAATTAATTAACTAACCAATGGATCAGCAGCAGAAATTGCAGTTTTTGTGGATAACAACATGTACTATGGAATGATCTGAGAAGTGGGTGGTAAGCCTAGCAGTTTAGATGACCATATCCTAGGCCCATGTGATGGCTTCGTGGCTAAATTCTCACCTTGCATGTGCAAGGATCCTATGAGTGCTGGCTATGTTCTGGCTGCTCCATTTTCCATCCAGCTCCCTGCCTGGAGGGCAGCAAAGGGTAACCCAAAGCCTTAGAACCCTGCTCCCACAAGGGAGATCCGAAAAAAACTCCTAGCTTTGGATCAGCTGAGGTCCAGCCATTGTGGCCACTTGGGGAAGAGAACCAATGGACAAAAGATCTTTCTGTCTCTCCTTCTGTCTGTAAATCTGTCTTTCCAATAAAGATACATAAGTCTAAAGAAAAACAATAAGAACAGAAAAAGTGACCGGGGCCCACCATGGTGGCCAAGCGGCTAAAATCCTTGCCTTGCACACACCGGGATCCCATATGGGTCCCAGTTCTAATCCTGGCGACCCCACTTCTCATCCAGCTCCCTGCTCATGGTCTGGAAAAGCAGTCAAGGACAGCCCAAAGCCCTTGGGACCCTGCACCCATGCAGGAGACCCAGAAGAGCTCCTGGCTTGGGATTGGCACAGCTCCAGCTATTGCAGTCACTTGGGGAGTGAACCATCGGGTAGAAGATCGATCTTTCTGTCTCTCCTCCTCTCTCTATATATCTGACTTTGCAATAAAAATAAATGAATCTTAAAAAAAAAAAAAAGATGGCCATATGCAAGTTCAATTCTTTATTCTGGCCCTGGACTCCAGATTCCCGCTAATGCCGATCCTGTGAGGCAACAGTGATGGCTTCAGTAACTGGGTTTCTGCCTACCTACATGGGAGATGTGCATTGCACGCCAGCTTCCAGTGAACTAGAAAAATTTAAAGTTCTAAGCAGTCCCAGGTATTTCTCTGTATCTGTAGCACTTTAACTGGCCAATTCAGAGAATACTTATAAAATGATTTCATCCCTCCACAAATTCAGAATATGAAGGAAGAGACTCAATGAAATAGTAACAGAAAAATTAAGGGGACCAGTACTGTAGTACATCAGGTTACACTGTGCTTGCAATGCCAGTATCCCATATTATAGCGTTGGCTTGAGTTCCACTTACCCTGTTCCTGATCCAGCTTCTTATTCGTGTGCCTGGTAAGATGGTAAAATTAGATGGCCAAGTACTTGGGCCCCAAGGGAGATCATGGTTTGTGGCTTTGGTGTGGCCCCAACCAAGTGGTATCCCCTCCTGGCCAAATTAATTAATTAACTAATTAGAAAACAAATTACTATTCCAGATCATTCATTGGTTCAATTATTGTAAGAAAAAACAGGCAGGAACTGTTCAGACACTAGACAATTTATTAAAAGCTTGCTGTGTCTTAGCAGTTTAGGATACAATGGTGAACAAGAATGCTACTGTCCTTGCCCTAGAGGAACTAAGCAAGAGCTTGAACAGAAGTCAAATTCTTTTTACTTCTTAAACATTTATTTATATTTATTGGAAAGGCAGATCTACACAGGAGGAGAGATAGAAAGATCTTTCTGCTGGTTCACCCTCCAAGTGGCCACACTGGCTGGAGCCGAGACAATTCAAAGGCAAAAGCCAGGAGCTTCTTCCGGGCATGGGTGCAGAGTCCCAAGGCTTTGGGTTGTCCTCTACTGCTTTCTCAGGCCACAGGCAGGGAAGTAGAGAGGCAGGGATAAAAACCGGACCAAATGGGATCCCAATGCATGTAAAGTAAGTATTTAGCTACTAGGCAATTGCCTGAGGACAAATCAAATTCTATAATCAATTAATTAAATATTTCATAATTGCTAACACAAAATTGATTATTAACTACAGGCCAATACTATGTACTGATAGTACATAATTTCTTGAAGGTAATTATGTACTGGCCAATTGATGCTCCACATGCATAACCTCACTTAAATGTGAAACGATTGTATGAAGCAGATACTATTTCCTTCACTTCACAGAAAAGGAATACAAGAGCAAGGAGATCTGAGTATTTTCCCACAACCACACAGGCTGCAGAGGCTTGTAGCTGCACCAAGTCTCTCTGACCCTAAAGCACATGTCCTTTCCTCTACTATGTTAGAAAGTCAGATCCATGTATGTACAAATGAGGTTTTTTTTCTGGTTTCACAGTAATTTCAAAAATTTTTTTTGGAATCTGCCTTCAAAAGGACCTTAAAGGGATACAAAATTAATGACAATAAAGATAGCTCAGAGAAGTAGATTGTGTTAGTTTCCATGACAATGCATGATTAGTAAGCCTTTGATAGGCCACTGCCAAGTCACTCATCTCTGAGTCTCTCTGAGAGGGAATTGGCTGACACAATCTCTAAAGGACATACTATCTTTAAAATGTTAGGATACTCCAAAAGTCAAGAAAAAAAATGTGAGAGAAATAAATATTACAATTATTTCATCAGTCTATAAATATTCAAAATGCACCTTTGCCAGTTAGATATACTTTCATAAACAAAATACACTTAATAGATTTAAATATTTTTTAACAGAGGGTAACCAGAAATGTCTGGACATCTGTTTGTTAAACTTGACTGTGCCTCTGGTATTACTGTTAAATGTCCTTCAGCGTCTGTGCCAGGCTCAAACAACACCGACTTCTTCGGTTCCAGCATCAACAGTGCCAAAGGAAGGAACTGCTTACCTTTGAATTTAATGTCCAGACCACTAAATTCCAACTCAACCCCTTGAAGGGCTTCTCCCAAAGTTTCATGGTAATGACTAATACTTTTCTTTGACCCCACACAAAATGGAAGTGAAAAGTACTTGTATGTTTCTTGGCGGTTATGGTAAGGACCAACAGTATTCATCCATAAAACCACTTCTTCTTTATCTTGATACTGAAACAAGAAAACAAGTAACAACATAAATACGTATTTTGATTTAATTCAAATTAATTATTCAAATTTGTTATTTGTTGTAACAACAGTATTCTATCTTCTCTTTGGGATGTTATAAAAATACTGGAAGTATGCTTAAATTTGATGACCACTATTTAAACCTTAAAAATGGAACTCTACATTTTAAAATTATATTCTCTGACTATGATCTCAAGTTCCAATTTTTTCAATTTCCTTTTTCTTACATAAGACAGTATTTAAATGAAGTGTAACAGCTTATAAGAATATTTTTATTTTTTAATTTACCATATTTTATAGTAACCATTTCTACAATCAATCAATGGTAAACTTACGATCAACAAGACTCATGAACAAAGGAGGATAAGATAAAATCGACAGCTTATCCAGAACCTCATTTAATCATTAACTACCAAAAGAAAACAAATCTAACATTGTCTACAAGCACAAGTAAAAGTGCATCTCCTTTCTAGTCTTTCACACGGCCACTGGTCACAAAACTGAAGACAGAAATGGCTAAACAAGGAAGAAAAGTCATGTTACCAAACCTCCACAAGCCTATTTAAGCAAACATTCCATTACCAGCCGGAACAACATGTACTGTATGCATATTTCATTGCATTAGTGAACATTCTACATGACTAGATCTGGAATATGGGCCAATGACTTTTGGTAGCTAACTTTAGCTTTTCAGAGTCCAATTGGAGTATCTGCCAAAGATTTCTAAGATCTCTACAAGTTTAGATTTCCAATGATTCATGAAAACTAATTACTCAGGTAATTTTAGAACTAGTAATTAGCTATATAAATTAAATATAGCATGCATTTAAATCTAGTAGTACAAAAATTTATTCAATGGATAATTATATTTACGGTCTCATGCCAATAAATGCATTTATAGCTGAAAACGCAGTTATGAACAAGATGTTTCCTGCCTTACTGGAGTTCAAAGGGAAAGATGGACACTGAGTAAGCAATTATAAGACAGGTTGCTACACAGCATTCCAAAGAGAAAACTACCCAACTAGCCCATGACAACATCTTTATTTCCAACCCTTCATTCAAAACTAAGGAATATGTTCAATCAAAATCTAAGGTCTCTAAAACCAAACTCCTCCTAACCAAATCCAATTTCCCCAATGTTTTTCTTCATGGTACTGCCATTCTCTCAAGCAAGAAAACCTGAAATGCCAATTCCCTTTGCATTCAAGAAAACCAACAACATTAACTTGGCCTCTTTTACCTCAAACATCAGCCTCTTTGTTTTTATTCACATCATCACTACCCGAAAACTCAGATCCGATGACACCATGTTCAAACATTATACGTCATGCTGTTCATTTAATCATCCAAATCAAAGACATAAAATGTTTTACTTTTTTATTGTGTGCGAAACATGGTCCATATACAGTATTAAGGATACAAAAAATAAAAAGAACACTTTCCTTTAAGAAGTTCACAGTTCATAGTGAAATCAGACAAGTAAATGATTAACAATGAAGAAGTGGGGCCCGGCGCGGTGGCGCAAGTGGTTAAGGTCCTCGCCTTGCACGCCCGGGATCCCATATGGGCACTGGTTCTATCCCGGCAGCCCCGCTTCCCATCCAGCTCCCTGCCTGTGGCCCGGGAAAGCAGTTGAGGACGGCCCAAAGCTTCGGGACCCTGCACCCGCGTGGGAGACCCAGAAGAGGCTCCTGGCTTCGGATCAGCATAGCATGGGCCATTGCGCTTACTTGGGGAGTGAATCATCGGATGGAAGATCTTCCTCTCTGTCTCTCCTCTCTGTATATCTGCCTTTCCAATAAAAAAATAATAAAAATAAATCTTTAAAAAAACAAAATAATGAAGAAGTGTTACAGTTAATAAAGGACTACTGTATTAAAAATTGTGATTAATTTCGTTCTAGCAAAGGAGTCAAGATAAATTATCATGAACAAAATCACAAGCTGTTTCAACTGAGCTTACAGAAACAACTGTAGGTAATGTTCATATACAAAGTAATGAATCAAAGATCTGAATGCTAATGCATCCATATCCCCATTCACAACTACTTTTTATCTTAGAGGGCTGAAAAACATACATGACACCACTCTTGCATACAAGGCTCACAGCTGCAAAATCTATCAAGGTATTTTCTCATTGCACATATTTTCAGAATCTTTCTCAATGCAGTACTCCAAACTAACCAACACCAACTAGCGTTAAAATGAAAACCTGTTCACCAAGGCAAATCTTTTCTGCACAGTATAATGTGTGTAACAGATACTTAATAAATACAATGGAAAACACTGAAGAAATGCTGAAATGCAGTTCGAATATAAAGTAAAAGAAACCTGGAATATGGGTACCTACAGACTACTGATTGCAAGAGTGTGTTTTTGAGACAGGCATCCACTTAAGATCAGAATGTGGATGACAGAAGACATTTTGAGAACCTTGCCGAAATGTTACAAACCTAAATTGTAAGAAAACGTGTTAAAGGAACCCTATACACGTTCCTTTAAAAATGAAAAACAATATACTTCAAATAGGGCAGCTTGTTATTTTATACAAACTGTGAATTGGAGATCACAATATGTGCTATAGTACACTTTCTAAAGCAAACATTTTTTAGAATCAAGATGATGATGATGATGATGATGATGAGTGTCAGAACCAGAGCCAGACAGATGAGACAAACAGAAATCCCATTGGAGTTTACTTTCCAAATGTCTTCCAGCCAGGAATTTGTCTCACGTGGATGGCAGGAGCTAAATTCTTCAAGTCACCACTGCTGCCTCTCAGGGTCTGCACTGGGAACAAACTGAAGTCTGCTGGGAGCCAGAACCAAAAACATAATGAAGGGATTCCAACGGGGTGGCTGGCACCTTAATAGCCAGGATAATTCCTGGCTCCTTTGGTGTCACTCACTGCAAACAGTCAGGAAACCTCAACAGAGTGGGAGAGTTCTGCTGACTGATGTAAGTACTATTAGAAAATTTAAACCATTTTTGCAGCTTAAGATCCTTTCTGGGACAAGGACAGAAACAGTAATCAGAAACACGCATGAAGATTTAGGGTGAACAACAAAACACTTTTTTTTATCCTTGAGACTAAGGGTTCCCAAGACAAAATCAAGGTTTTTTTCTCCAGAGAAAACGTGTCTCAAACACCATGATATTAAAAACCACCAAAGGGAGGAGTCTCAAGGAGAAAACAAAATGCAGCAACCACTACCACAACCTTTCCAGTCCCTGCGTTCCCCCACTTTGTGGGAGTGCAGTGCCACTAAGGCTCTTTCCTCACCAATCTGCTTCTTAGGAAAGCCTGGCAAAAAAGGCTTGTGTAATTTGCTTCCAAAACACACCAGGAAACCCTATCAAAATATTTTAAACTATTTTCCTTGACAAAATGTTGGACTAGCTAGCAGCACTGAAAAAGACACTTTTAACTTACCTGCAAAGTATAAACAAGAGAAGGGGAAAGTCCAAGCAGCGCAAAGCAGGGTGTCAGGAAATTCCTGAGCTTGGACTAACTCCTTTCATCTGAGGCCTTTTCGGCAAGTGGACAAAGAGGAGGTCAATTTGGGCTACCTGTGTTTTTTTATTTGAGATTTGTTTATTTGAAAGGCACAGTGAGAGAGACAGATCTTACATTCACTGGGTCACTTCCCAAATGGGTACAATGCCCTGAGTGGAGTCAAACTGAAGCCCAAGTCCAGGAGCTTTTTCAGGTTGCCCACATGGGTGCAGCTGCCATCATTTGTTGGTCTCCCAGGCACATCAGCAGGAAATTGGATCAAAAGTCGAGCTGCTAGGACTCAAACTGGAACCTATATGTGATGCTAGTACTGCAAGTGGCGGCTTAACCTTCTGTGCCATAATGCTGGTCCCTTTCTGCACTCCTCATTTGTCCCATTTCCAATTCTTGGAAGAATGTCACTGTTACACTCCTAAGCTGTCTCCTTCAGACAAAAAGGCTTTTGACATTGTCCTCCATTCCTTTTTCTGTCCTACCTTGTTCCCTTTGCTCTCCTTTTCTTCACTTTGCCAAATTCTACTTCTTCTTCAGAGCTGCTTAAATCCTTTCTCCAATCCTTGATTAAAGCCTTAACTAACCAGTCTCACCATCTTCTGTAACAATAACCTCAGTAACTAGATATTTACCATGAGCTAGGTACAGTTCTAAAGTTTGCATCAACATTTAATCCTTTAAAACCTCTACGGGATAGGTTCCACAGTGTTCTCTGTTTAAAACAGCAACACTAAAAAACAGAATTGCTACATAAAGTAATTTGTCCAAAATGATCAGTACTAAGTTCACAAATTCAGGGCTCTACTTTTGCTAATTCCTGGTCAGTTTCATTAAATAAAGAACAAAAATTCAAGAAAGCCAAGGAAAATTAAAGAAAACACAGTTGTACAAAGCAATACTGAACAACTTTTTTCACTTGAACCTTTAATCCTACCTAAGGAGGAAAAATCTTCCTGAGAAGCTAGCATCTCAGAGTAGTAAGCTTAGCCTCCACTTGTGGTACTGGCATCCCATATGGGCACAGGTTCAAGGCCCAGCTATTCCACTTCAGATCCAGCTCCAGCTCCCTGCTAAAGGCCTGGGAAAGTAGTGGGAGATGGTTCCAAGTCCTTGAGGCCCTACATCCACAGGAAATCTTAGAAGTTCCAGTCTTCTGGCTTTGAACCTGCCCAGCTCCAGCCCCTGCGGCCACTTGGTGAGTGAACCAGTAGATGCAAAATCTCTATCTCTATATCTCTCTCTTTCCCTCTCTCTCTCTGTAAAACTGTCTTTCAAACAAAAATAAACCTTAAAAAAAAATAAAATCAAAGCTCCTGTGCTTTAATCTCAAAAGCAATGATCTTTTCCTCAAGAAGTTATCAATGTTTCATTCTTATTTAAATACACGTGTCCTTAGCTGGGGGTGAGGGTGGGGCAGGGGTAGACACTAAGGCTTTCCTCCTGACAGAAGAAAGCATTATTAATTTTTAAAAGAGGAATACTATAAAAAACAATGTTGCTGACATACTCATGTAAAATCTGAAAAAGAAATCAGAACACAACACAAGCAAAGGACAGAGTACTCAGCAGAAGTACCCAATTTTGTTTTCAAGGGAAAGGTAAAAAGCAAAGCATGCTTAAATACCTATCAGAGGAGATATTTAAAATCTTAGTTTTAAATTTTTAAAAAATTATTTATTTAAAACACACATCAGAATTCTAACAAATTAGAAACAGTCTCTTGCAATAACTGTTCTCTCAAAATAGCTTGTACCCAAAAAAAGCTGAGTCTCTTTGAGTACAGCTGAAAATAGGACAATGATTTATGATATATCTCAAAAAGATCTATATTAGAGCTTTACAAAATCACTTGCAATAAACAATTCATTCTCTTTATAAATTTCCAAATAAATTAGTTTTGATACTTCCAACAGAAGGCTGCCCTGAACTAAAGCAAAAACAAAACAAAAATCAGTTTTTAAATCACTTAGCAGTGTAACATCAAAGTGTCTATGGGCGACGCTGAGTAAGTATCCCAGACATAGATACTTCCAACACTGGGAACTAAAAACAGCACAAGCACAAACAGAACAAGGATTCTGGTGTAGGTAAGGGCCCTAAATCGCAACAGACAGCCCCAAAAATGATGTACCTTAAATTCACAGCATTCTGTTTTTTGTGCTTCAAGCAACAGAGTTTCATTGCATATCGTTGGTCCTGGTGGCTCCCTGATTCTTCAACAAACACTGACTAAATAAATACCACTTTGCACTGTATAGTGCTTAACAGGTATATAACAATCCCTCCAACACACACAACACAAAGAGCTGAACTTTGTGATCTTGCTAAGGAAATAGAACCCATAAAAATTACAGTGTAAACCATAAAAAGCTCTAAGATTACAATGATCTTGATTGTACTTGTTTTGGGGGGCTAACGGAGATGACATGAATTATGCACAAGACAGGTAGCAAGAACTATGGCTATTTCTGTGGCCTTAGGTCAGTCACTGGGCCAATGTGAGCCATTAGGAAATAGATTACATGATCTCAAACTGTTCCAGTTCTAAAGTAATTTGAAATTTGAAATTATTTCTAGTGGCGTCCTCTGGAATTTAAGGATATAGAGTAGTCTAACTCCAGATATTTCCTTGTATTTTGTTTCAGAAAACCATAAGCATGAATACATCCTGTATGTCTTTCACTCATTTGAAAAGGGGTTTTCTCTGATCTTTCATTTATTAAGAGCCTGTCTTTCAACAGAGTGTTTTTTAATTTTAATTTCAAATGCCTCTTGTAACTATACATGGTTCAACTTTTAAATTTGAGAGACCAGTACCTACTCGTATTCAGGATGTGTATATACTCCATACAGCACATCTCCACCTCCTCACTCTTCTGAGTATTTACAAAACTGTGGATAAATAAGCACCTTCAAATGGCATGTTGGGCAGATGGTGAACCGATCCCAATTCAGCAGGCACATACAGTAAAAGGGGGCTTCATGGGACACCATAAAGTGGCTGTCCTTTCTTAGGACCAGCCACACAATGTGCAGGACCCAGTACAAAATAAAAACATAGGACCCCTTGCTCAAAACCTCAGAATGTCACGATGGTGACAACAAAGTATTAAAACACAGTCCTATAGCATCCTTCATCTCACGTGCTCACCAAGTCAGCCACAGCTCTTTCATGCTAATGCAGACACTGAAGTACCAACCCGTTATGAACCTAGACTCATCCACACAGATCTTAAAGCACTTAAACATTACCACCAAAAAAAGAGAGAACTACTCAGTTCAATACCAAGCGTTTTACTGTCCTACTTTAGGATAAAGAGTTTTGCCTCTCAGCAAAGTGCGTAGAACATTATTAACTCAGAATGTCTTGGCTCAAATCCCACCTTCTACCTCTAGAGGCTCTGTGACCTCCTGCAGGCGGCTTAACCTCCTTAGTCTGTTTCCCCATCAATAAGAAAGGCAAAATGTGTAAAACACCTAGTGCATAACACAACTTGTTACAATAGTTATCTTACTTGTCATTTCTATCCATAAATTGCCTTCACAGAAACTAACTTAAAGGGCAAGCTTTAGCTTCCGGAAGCTGTGCCTTAATCAATAATTCAATTCCACAGTATTTACTAAACACCCATCCAACAACCTTCCTCGGCAATTTGTCCAATTTGTCGCCTCCTTCAGTCATTCTCTTCACCAGCTATTTCTGTCTTCTTATAGGAAAAAAAAAAATTAACAGGCCATAACACTTCCTGCACTGTTAATCTGGCTAAGGTGAATGGCTAGTTATCAAAAAACAGCTTCAGGAAACTTAGACCAAAAGATTTTGGTTAACAATGAAGATTAGTAATATGAATGCCACTGCTTTGAATTTTACAGCTGTATCTTAATGCTATTCTTCCCGATAACATGAACATCACAACAGGTAAGCAAGCCAGAGCAATTCAGTGTCAACTGTGACTTGTTTGGTTCAGCAACCACCTCACATAGCTCACATTTTCTTTCTTCCTTTTTTTTTTTGGTTATATCAACCAACAAAAACTTTATCAAATATTGTATATTCAACAATTGGCATAAAAAAGTTTCTGGCAACAAAGTTGCATTTAAACTGGCACTTATATTTTAAATTTGTCAATTATTCTAAGGCTTTTATACACTTTCAACTTACCAAATTTTAATGAAGTTTTCCCTATTGACAACAGTACAAAACACACGACAAAAAGCAGACTATCTCAAGCATGTATGCTTGTTCTGATAGAAGGGGGTTCAAAGGTCTGAGTTATACATGGTGACTTTTTATAGATAGGTGCAAGTAAACTGGGAAAAAACATTATAACACCACTAACTAAGCGGATGCTCACTGGAAATTAAAGTAATTAAGCACCCAATGTAAGCTTGGTCTCTCTATGCTATATGAAATAAAAGAGTTCTTAGACTTGCAAGTCACCTGACAGAACAACAGAAAGGCGTTTTTAACTGTTTATGTGCAAAATTATGATAAGGCAAAAAAGTGATTAAAAAAAAAGCATGTCACTAATACATGACACTACTGGCCATAAACTGAAGGTGGGACAACCTAAAGTTCAAGACTTCCATTTGTTGAAGGTGGCGTCCAGTTAGCCCAGGAGGCACTAGAGAAAAGTTTCTCTCACTACAAATAAAACCAAAAAGCCAGGTCCACTAAACCGATCAGGACAGGAGACTGCCTGATTTCCTCACTTCTCAGCAATGGCAGCAGACTCCCCAAATACACCCCAGCCCTCACGCAAAATCACACAGGAATAATTTACAGGAGAACAACCTCTCAATTTACCTGACTTCCCAGGCTCACTCGCGTCTACATTCTGAAAATCACGGAGTTAAAGCCCTAAGCGAGTCATCAACATTCAAGCTTGGATGTAAAAACGCAATTCAATAAACCATCCACATTCGGCCAAATGCAAAAACAAAACAAAACAAAAAAGAAGAGGAAGACTTTTAGGACCCTGATCGAAATACTAGACAACTTCACACCTTTTCCCAAGGGAAGCTTGCCCGGATTAGAGACCCTCGGTATGTGGGCGGGTGGCAAGGACACGTGGAACCCGCTCCTTCACCTCAAGTTTATAGACTGCCCCCACTCTGGGGTTTTAATCCGGCTGGAAAAAAAAAAAAAAAAAAAGAGGCCGGAGAGGACCATCAAGTAGCAAACGTTTCCTGGTAAGGGTATGACGGGTAATCGCGACGCATCCACATTCCACCGTGTCGTAGCCCCCCCGGAGCCAGACAGCAGCCCTCTCCCCCGAGGACTCGAACCCGGGTCCAACCTGCCTGCGCCCCCTCCCACCGGCCAGCGCCCCGCGACCCTCCCCAGGCCCCTTTCCTGGCTCGCAGGGCCCCCAGGCCCGGGGGCGGGGCGCCGCGGGAGTCAGATCCCGGGGAAAGGCCACCCTCGCCCCTGACCCCGCGCCGGGAGCCGAGTGCTGTCCCGGGAGCGCAGGGACAAGCCTCCTGTCCGCCCCCGGGGCTCTGGCCTGGCCAGGCCCAACCGGAAGGAGCCCTCGAGCGGCCACGGGGAGCTACTGGGCCTCCGGGCCCTGCAGGCCGCGCTGGGCCTGGCCTGGCAGCGAGCTAAGGATGCGGGCCGAGGGGGAATGCCGCCGGCCGGGGACCCTCACCGTGTGTTCGTGCTCGTCCGCCCGGGCCCTGGGCAGCAGCAGCAGTAACAGCACAACGGCCGCCGCCACGCCGGGAGCGCCCGGCAGCGGCCTCATCCTCCGCGCTCCCACCGGCCCGGCGCCGGCCCACCGACTCCTCCTCCTCCGCCGCCGCCTCTGCCGCGGCCGATTCGCATCCACGGGACGCGGAGAGACGCACGGGGCCCGGGCCCAGCCGCTGCCTCCTCCGCCGCCGCCGCCGCCGCGGCCGCCGTCACCGCCCGCTCCGGAGCCTCCACCGCCCGCCGCGCCTCCCCGGCTGCTTCCTCTGACTCAGCCACGTCATCCGGCCACCCCGACACACGCCGGAAGTGCCTAGCGACGCGGCCCGCAACGGCCGCCGGGCTGAGGGAAGGCCGCGCGCCGGCCGCTCCCGCCCGACTGCCCGGCCACCCCGCAGCCCAGCTCCCGGGAGCGGCCAGCTCGGCGGGCAGTCAGGCGGGCGCCCCTCACGGACTGCGTGGCCTGGTCCGCCTGGGTGCCGTGTGCAGGCTCTTGAAACCTTGTGACCTTGACCGAAGCGTTTAGTTCTTCCCTGGCTGTGAAATGGGACGATGGAAGGACTCGCCTCTCGAGCTGGAACGATCAGGTCAGGGGCTTAACCAGGCTGCCGTCCAGCACAACGGATGACTCGCAGGTTGCCATCTTCTTCGTGGGAAATTGTTGAACTTGGACTGGGTTGTGGTGTTTTGAAGTCGTTGTGTCAATACGGTCCTCTCACAGAACTGGGCTTCCATTGAAGTTCTCGTCATCAGTCCCTCTTAGGGATATGCTCCTCAGAGCACAGGTTCTGTTGTGCTACTTCCTGTGCCTAAGACAGTGCCAGACCTGTAGAACGACTCATGAAATATATAGAAACAAATGAATATGGCCCCACCATCTACACATGCAGCCCTCCAAGCCAGAAATGTACAAGTCATCTCAGCCGTCAGCAGCCAAGTTCTAACATGTATTCTCTTAAAAAAAAAAAAAAAAGCCTCGTATTTTTCTGATCTTTCTTCTGCCAGTAACAGCCCATCTTTACCTCACCGTGTGTTGTAACAGTCTTCCCCGTCAGAATCCCTGCCGTCAGTCTTCCCTCCCTGTTAATCATTCCCAACATGTGCCAGAGAGATCTTTATAAAGAAACCAGACTGTACACTTTTGCTTAAAACACCCCTGGCAGGGCAGCATTGTGGCACGGTGGGTAAAGCTGCCACCTGCAATGCTGGTAGCCCATAGGAGCGCAGGCTCACATCCTGGCTGCTCTGCTTGAGGTACAGCTCCTTGGTAATGGCCTGAAAAGGAGCAGGTAATGGTCCAGAGACCAAGCAGAAGCTCCTGTCTCTGGCCTGGCCTAGCACTGGAGAATGAACCAGTGAATGGGAATTTATTATCAATAACTCTGCCTTTCAAATAAAATAAATCCTTAAAAAAAATGCCCATAGAAAATGTGAATGATTGTGATTCAAATCATTACAAGTGGCTTGCTGTTCTTTTGTGCTTGAGTGTTTGAATTTTTCTTTTTTTCTTTTTTTTTTTTTTTTTTTTGCAGTGAACATGTGTTACAGGGCAGGGACAATGGTGGAGGAGAAGTTCCTGTCTACAGGTTAAAGTCCAAACCACTTAGCCTGTTAGCATACACCTTCACCATCAAGCCATAATTCATCTTCCCAACTTTACCTCTGACTAATCTATGCTTGGCCTTCACCCACAAAGCTTCTAAATATGGTATCTTTTTTTCCCTGCTGTGACTTTGTTCTTCATACTCCCTTTCATCTAGAATATTGTTTCACGCTGTCCATCAGGAACCCCTGTCCAGGCTCAGCTGAATTATCTACTCTGCAGTTGAGCATCCCAGGGGCTAGTGCTATGGCATGCCAGCATCCCATATGGGTGTTGGTTTGTATCCTGGCTGCTGCACTTCCCAACTCCTTTCTAATAGCCTGGGAAAGCAACAGAAGATGGCTTAAGTGTTTAGGTTCCTGCCTACCCCATTGGAGAGAGACCTGGATGAAGCTCCTGGCTCCTGGCTTTGGCCTGGACCTGTCCTGGGGAGTAAACCAACAAATGATGATCTCTCTTTCTCTAACTTTCAAATCAATAAATACATAAGAAGAAAAGGTTAACATTCCTTCTCTGGGGTTGCAGTAACATTTGAGATGCCATGTGTGACACACTAATCTATTCCCATTAGTCTCTGTGCTACATGGCAGCCTCTTTGATGGCAAATAATACCATTTGTCTTTGTATTTGGCCCAGCTTCCAGGATAATGCTTGTCACACCATAGACATTCAATAACAATTTGCTGAATGAATGAATGAAAACATTAACAAGTGAAAAGCCAAAGAGCACCATAGAATTTAAAGACTGCTTTCTAAATAGTGTAGGAAACATCACAAAGCAGTGCATGATTAATTGGTGAATAAATCATATACCAAAAATGGCCAAAGAAATCAGAAGCATCTTTGGCATCTCTGTTTGTCTTCCAGAACACCTAGCACAATGATGTACTCACAAGGGAAGCTCAGTCAATGTTCTATGAATGAATAATCACTGCTTCTGAATGCAAAGATGGTGGGCAATTGGACAGGCAGTGTAAGTGCTGCGTTAAGAAGGATGAGTAGCTCATTGCTTAAACATCCCTCACCAGCCTCCCCAGATTTGAGGGAGTATGCATTGACTGACCATTGTGGGGAACTTTGTCTTAGCAAGTGCTTTGGGTAGAGAGGAACCAGAAAAAAAAGTACAAAGTATTGGGTAGGCCTTAAAGCATATATACACACACGAGACAGAACAGGCATGACAGTGTACAAAAAAACTCAACAAAATATAATCAACTGCTAAGCAGTCAGAGCAATAAGCAGTGAGAACAGAGGAAGCCTACTTTTGGGACTATTTGGGAAAGTTTATTGAAGAACATGTAGGGCCATTAATTCAGCAACTATTTATTGACCATCTTCTACAGTTAAGAATTCTGGTGGGTACCAGGGAAGGATGCTGGTAAATGATGAGTCTGATATCAATAGGTATGGAAGGAGGAGATGGGAGGTAAAGTAGCTCGTTAGGAGAAAAAAACCAGTGAAAGCAATAAAACAAGGCCCGGAGGCACCATCAAAATTAGGGTTGCTCCATGAACCGAAAAGTACAAAATGTGATAGCTCTGACTTCTTCAGTTTCTTCACCTGCAATGATGACCTCATCCCCAGACACCCAATGGAAGAAAATACCATTGAAAGGAGATCTCCAGCTGTCCTCCAGAGCTCTGCCGGCTTTTATAATGCTTCTAATGAGATTCTATTTTGGTTGAGGAGCTTATGACCACCAAGCAACCTGGAAAATTATAGTTTCAAATTCCTGTTCTCATTCTGGATAGATGTGATCATCAGAAGCCTTGGGGTGTGGATGATAACATCTCCTGATTTCTATCAACTACTTTTTCTTTCAAATTCTGTTTCTCCTTTCCAGACTTGGATGGCCAGTGGGGAAGAAGCAGTTTCATTGATATCTGCCACTTCTGTTTCAGATGAAATACTCCAAAGACCAGTGAACTTTCTTTAGGAAGCCATCAAAGAAAATGGAAAAGCAACCAAGATGGATTCATTTCTTTGTGCCATTCTGTTTCGTTGTCTCTCTTCACCCCTCCGCTACAACAACCCCGCCCCAACACCCCCATCCGTGGCCAAACTGATCTGTTACATTGATACAGGGCAAGTAATAGCCACTGCCCTGTGATAGTGTGTGTGTCCTTGCCAGCTGGGTGGTTACTCCGGTAAGGCTGTGTCTCTGCATCCACAGAGTGAGAAATTCCATACTCTTTGCTTTGGACTTAGCTGCGCCATGTTGAAGGGGTCTGGAGTGTTACCAAGGGCCTAGAGTATAATTGGATGCATAACTCTCCACTTCATAGATGAAACACAGGTCCAGGCAGTCAAACTATGTGAACCCATCAAGCAGGAGTAGTTCAAAATGAAAGCCAGGTTTCCTGATTTTGAAACAAATATTCTGCTCCCTACCCCCTTGATAACTCCTACCACATAGATTGGACATTTTACACTACATTGTGGGACTAATGGGATTTGGCAGACTAGCCTGGGAGCCTGTGTTTCACAGTTCATACGAAAAAAACAAATTGCAAGTTGTGTCTCAGAGCACACCTTTCAACCAGCAGCTCATCTTCTTACCAGTCTGGTGAATTTAGTAACTGTCCAGCAGGAATGGACGAGGAGGGTCAGTTCACATTCATAACTACTTGGTTAGAAGTGAACAGAACATAATTAACCAAAGGAAATATTTAATGTAGGTACTTATGATTGAGGATTGGTGTTTGGGTTAAACTTGTAGAACGATTCAAATTCATCACTTGCCTGTTTCATAAATACATCTATTACTAATGTGTCCTCCACCAACCAGGCACAAAGTCACACATTGTTGTTTAAAGGAGGAGCAGAGAAAACCAACTTACTTCCAGGGCCCGTTGAAGAGGGATCTAACAAACCCAGCTATTAAGAAAATACAGGATTTATAAGAGGCTCTCCTTGTTAATAACAAAGCAAAAAGAGAAAGGAAGGAAGGAGGGAAGAAGGGAGGGAGGGAGGGAAAGAGAAAGAAAGAAAAAGAAAAGAAAAGAAAGAAAAAGAAAAAAAAATGGAGGAGACAGTTGGGCTTGACACATATTCATTGACAGTCTCTAGATACTAACACTTCTTATAATGATGGCACAGCATCAGGGATTATTCACATCATTAAACATGTCAGGTTAAATTATTGTGTTGCAACATCAACCTCTTATGCAGTCTCTCAGTCTTTATACTTTGATGCATTTATAGTTAGGCTATCTGCTCCTGGATTTTAATACATAGTGAAGGAAATGTGCTGGCCTAGGGACTAGAAGTCAATTTATCTTCTACAGGTATGGAAGTTTAACCCAAGTTTTAAACCCAAGTTTAACCCAAACACCAAAGGCAATAGAAGTGAAGATGAGCAGTAACTGTACGCTGTATTGGTCCAGCTGGTAAAACCTTGGAAAAGAATGGTGGCAGCAGAGCTGCCTCCCAAAGAAGCACTCAGAAAACTTTTTATTAGCTACTTTTGATACCTCCTTATAATTTAGTTTCTGATCCTCAATGTATTGAAAATCCATGGTTTTGTTACTAAAAATTTTGTACAAATGTGTTGAACCTGTGGAATTGGAATACATTTATGTTGGAATTGAATATATTTGTTTCTAGAGAATTGAAAAGTTTACTTCATCATTAAGATACATTCTTTGATAATAATATA